CCTTGTAGATAAAGGGAGCACCTATTTCATCCAAATTACATGAAGTGAGCATCCATAAAGCAGGGTGTACTGCTATGAAGGGCAGGTTGCTACAATTTGCCTAGTTATCCTTTATAGCTGCAAATTTAATTTGCAGCATTGTTAATTACAACACAATTAAAGTATTTTAAAAAGCCATGCTAAATGCTTAATCTTCTGATTTATCCTCCAATCAGTTTGTGCCTTTTTTTTGTGCATAGACATGACTGCCATCCTAGGAGGGAGGAACAAGGAAAGATCATGCCACTACCTCTAATCAAATGGTTAATTTTTTCAAATGAATCCATATTATCTGGATTTTTTATTTGTAATCATACTTGTACTCTGGTTTGAATACCTGCTGATTAGTTAGTTGTCATCTTAGGGGAACATGAAATTCTTATATTTACCCAGATATATTATGCCAGCCATTATTCAGCACTGATTGGTTTCATGAAAAAATATACATTATTTCAGCAGATAATCTGCTTAGTCTTATTCATTGTGTCAATTATGTACTCAAATAGCTATTCCCATTTCATTTTTAATGGAGTTTATTAATAATTGCTTATCTATGCAGTGATTGTGTAGTTTGTTTTTTCCTTGTCCTTATTCTCTCCCTGTTCCCCTGAAATGCCTGCTATAAAGTGGTAAACATATGGCTGCAGTCATGCCCTGAGGGTAACTTCAGCCTGTAGCCACAGTGGTATCCACAGGGCAGCTCTCCTCAACAGTGCTATGACAAGAATTAATTTAGGCTTCGCAAGGGTGGATGGATGTCACTGCTCTAGAAGAAACTGAGAATGCAGGGACAGTCACAGCAGGTTCATGCTCCCTTCTTTCGCATAGAATGAGAGGTAATGACTTCAAGTTGTAGAGGAGGTTCAAATTGGATACTAGGAAACATTTCTTCTCAGAAAGAGAGGTAATAAATCAGCACAGGCTGCCTGGCAAGCTGGGGAAGTCAATGACCCTAGAGGTATTCAAGAACTGTGGAGATGTGGCACTGAGAGATGTGGTTAGTGGGGATGGGTTGGGGTTGGACTGGATGATCTTAGTGGTCTTTTCCTACCTTTATAATTCTGTGATTTACTGTATGAGATACTAAGGTTTTATTTACATATGGCAGGTGAGATTATCTTTGTGTTCATTAAAAGCTGCAAGTAACTTGTAGTCTAAATGAGGAATAGGAATATGCACGTTCTAGCATGGATAATAGCTACAGTAAATTTGACTGTAATGCCTATTTGGTAAGGTACCACACTTGATTTCTGCAGGTACAGTTATGTACAGCGCTCTCTTAAATAGCTTAGTTATGAGAAAAAATTATATTTTGCAAGGATGAACAGATAGGATTCAGAATCTGCTGTCTCTGGATCATTCTGGGTAAAAATTATTCATTCACAAGATAGGTGTTTCTGATGCCCTTCACTGTAAATCCTATGGGTTTAGAAGGCATTTCAAGTGAAAAAAAATCACTAGCATTTCCTTCAATTTTGCAAGTCGAAAATCTCACAGAATGACAAGTCTGCCTGCCTGAATACTCATCAAAGTCCCATCCACAGGGAGAGCAGGCTTAAAACATACTTTTAACCATGGGGGGGGGGGGGGGGGGGGGGAAAAGGTGAAATGTTAAGCAAGCTAATTATTAGTAAGATTTTGCTCAGGTACAACAGTATGACTATACACATGGTGGGAGCTGCTCGTTTTTATGATCTCCAAGCATTAGTGAAAACAATGAAAGGTGACCAAGATCTCACTAAGATCTATCCCAAAGAAAGAAAGTTAAACCTTTTAAGCATTTTCCTTTACTTTCCATTTTCTTTAGTGTTATCCTACTTGATATGGTTTATGGCTATGGTGAAATTGAGGATCTCACCCAGATTCTTATCCATTGCAGTTCTAAGTATTCTGTTATTTGTGTTTCTCTTACTTAACCCAACTGCAGCACTCTCTTGTCTAGTTCTTTGGAGCTGTGGAGCCATGCATGTGCCCCCTTCGGAACAGGTAAGCTCATATGGCCCATACCTGGCCCAGGGAGCTGCAAAGAACAAAGCAGTTATGCTTCACGGGGTGCAGCAGTTGGGCTTTGAACAAATGTCAGTGTTATTTTCAATAAAGCTTACTGAACATTATCATCTGTGAATAACACTGGAAGCTAGAGATATGGAGACTGAATCATCTTTTAAAACACAGACTTTGCAAATCATTCCAGATACCTGGTTTGGGTTTTCACGTTTGGAGATTCAGCAGGGAGGAGGTACTGTCATTCAGCTCTAGCTATCTCTCCTATCCCTCTTGTAACTTAGTGGCAATCACCAGTTCCTGTGTCTATGTAAATCTGCATGGAGATAGGAAATTGTGAAATGCTGGAAGGACTCCATGGAAGATCTTTTCATGATATTAACAATTTTGCAGTAATCTTAAACTATCATATATATTATTATTCTTTCCCTCAGTTTCATCTACAACAAATAATCTCCCCAAATGCACCCTTATTTTTTCTTGCCAAGTCTCCTCAGCTGGCCTGTGCTTCAGTTTGAAGCGTGCCATTAGAAGCTGACATGCTGTTCTCTGCAATGTCCCACCAGAGCTAAGCACAGCATGAAGAAACCACCGTGTGTCTTATGTATGTGTTTATATTCCAGTATTTGTCTTTTGTTTGCAGCCATATATTGCGTTCACTTAGTGTAACTTCCAGAAATGATGCACTTATTGTTGCATGTATGGAATAGTTCATGCGTAGAATAGTATAGAATTGTGTATAATAATACCCAGCTTAAATCACTGCTCCACTTGAACAAGACCTGAATTTTAATCCCACTTTCTAAAGTGCTTCTAGTCTTCCCCTACCAGTTTATCAGCTGTGGTTCTCAAAACCGTGCACGATCTGTGATAAAGCTATTCCAGGTTTTGGAAGAAGAGGTACAAAAGGGTAAAACCTCAAGATAATGGTGAATCCATCTGAGTTTGCCTCTCCACAAGGATGTGCATAGCCATGATGTCATTCACTGACATGAGTTTTCCAGCAGAAAGTGACCTAATCCTGGACTTTCCCCCCATCCCAGTGCTAGTACTGTCTGGGAACTGGGTAAGTTTTTGAACACATTCAGTCTTAGCTTCCCAATTTAACAAAGGAGAAGTGATATTATTGAAGTGCTATGACAAACTGGCTCTTTATGCTCAAAGCACAATCTCTCTTCTTCTTTTATACAGGAAGCAATAACTAATCTCTATGTAAACATTGTGAAATCCCATGTTGGAAGCTTGTATTGCCTCTGCAAGCTTTTTATGGTCTTAATGGTTTATTGCATCTGCTGTCAAATCACAATACATATATATTACTTATTACACAGAATCATATGGGCATTATGGATTATCTCTTATTTTAAAGAACTTGGAAACAATGAACTGAATTCATGACCCAAGCAAACACTACTGGAGATGTGAAGTACTTATAGAGCACAGGGGCATCCATTAGAAAATTCAGCCTGAGTTAATTTCTCTGTTGTCTGTTAACTCGGGGAAAAAAAAAAAGAGAAAAGTAAGCTTGTCTGGCAATTAATGATTCATTAATTTGAATATCAGTGTGGCTTTCATCCTACTTGTTATTGCAACCAAAAGGGTCTGCAACAAAGACATCATGCTCTAAATGCTTACTTTTCAAGGTACTGTAACTTGACCTAGTTCAAAGTGAATAAGAACAACTCTGAAGCTGCAATATTGAAATTATGGAAGGGAAATGTTTTGACCCATAATGCTTTAATTTGAATAAATAAATAAAATAATGGAAGAATTGCCTTAGTGTCTCTCTGGAAATCAAAGAGATTTTATGCTCTGTTCTGGCAGCACACAACAGACAGAACATTGTTACAAGATGAAGATGTCCAGTGTCTTGGCACGGTGCAACTCTATACAATGCTTCTTTTGCAAATCCTACTATTGCACTGTATAAAAGATTGGTTTGGGAGTAGAGAGGGTGATATAAGCAAAGTGGTGGGGAGTTTGGAATGAAACCTGTGGCTGAAGGGAAGCCAACAGGCAGCCCAAGGAAGGATGCTACAATTCAAAACACTGGCAAAACTGCTCTGTCTTAAAGTGGGGGCTATTTGAAACCAAGGTCAGTCCAGAACTCTGAAGACTTAAATAAGACCTCTGTGTTATTCAAAATGGATGCATTTATTGATGTATAATCCTATTTGTAGCCTTCATGTTCAGCTTCTGGTTGCAGACACAGATTCTGGTTGAGTCTTTTCCACTAAGCCAAAAAGCCCTCAAGTACCAAGGATTTTCTCCTGTAAAATTAACATAATCCAATAATTTGTTTTCTCAATTAAAAAGATCAAAAGTTTGAAGATTTTCTCCTCAAGCCTTGGATCACTTTTTTTTCCTATTTTGTTTTTTCTGCAAATGACTCTGTGCCATCTTTTGAAGAGCTGGATTATAGTATCATTATTTAGATCCTGTTGATGTCATGGGAGAATTTTTTTCCTGTAGTTAGTGAACATCCCATTCTGCTGCAGCATCTCGCTGGCAGTGTGTCTGTAATTATTTGCACGCTGCTTCCCACAGCCACTACAGAGCCTTTGTTTTCCAGCATAATTTCCCCTTCTCTGTTATGGCTGCCTGCAGGAGCGTGGATTTATAACTTCGCTTTTGGAGCTGTTAAATGCGTTTTATTTTGCTGACTAGTTCCAAAGAAGATGACTACCTTCTGAACTTTCCCACGTGGCCTGGGTAGCTGTACCTGAGCATATTGCACCAGTACAGCTCACGTGGGCTCCTGGCTCCTTTCCAGGGCACCATTACACGTGTTATTAACCAGCTCTAAGGCAGATAACACTACAGAATAACAACACAAAGTCTCATTGTTTTTTAAAGGTTTACTGGGTTAAGAAGATGACGGGTTGCAGTCAGACAAGAAAGAGGCAGGAGGTCTGAGCAGCAATTCACAGTGAAGTTTTTTTTCCTTTCTTTCACAGATCTTTCTAACTAAGGTTGCCACGTCTGGGGCAATGTTCCATGTACTGGGTGCCATGGTGTGCTACGGGTGCTTGCCAAGGAAGGAGATGGAAAAGCTGTGCCTTTGCCAGTGCTTAAAGAATGAATCTGAAGACTGCTGCGGTTCAGTGGACCGCTACTGTGAGCAGCTCCAGCGTGATGACAGGAGGCTTTTGAAAATGAGCTCAACTTCAGATTTACCCTGGTACTGTCCATTATGAATCGTGAGACTTGTAGCATTTGTTTAGTTAACAACAAAGACAGCAATTTTACTTCAAACTTCTGACTTTAAAGTTTCTGAAGTTCAGCAAAAAAATAGGGTAGAATCAAATTCTGCAGTGACTGCATGCATTCAGTGCCAGGCTCAGACGAGCTTGGTAGGGTCACTGCTTTAGCACAGAGATAGAATCATGGAGAAATCTCTTTGGTATGTTGTGACAGGACAACGGGAAATGGTTTCTAACTAAAAGAGGGGACATTTAGACTGGATGTAAGGAAGAAGTTTTTTTTTACAATAGGGCTAGTGAAGCACTGGCACAGGTTGCCCAGAGAGGTGTTGGATGTCCCATCCCTGGAGACACCCAAGCTCAGGCTGGACCTCAGCACCCGATGGAGCTGTAGGTGTCCCTGTTCACTGCGGGGAGTGGGACCAGATGGCCTTTAAAGGTCCCTTGCAACTCAAACCATTCTGTGTTCATTGCCAGATCCTCTCCTTGTCCCCTCTGGGATTGCTGGGAAGAACAACCGTGTTGTCCCAACGTTTTGTCCGCATCGGACGCCGGAATCGCCCCGCAGCTGCTTCTCTGGAACCTCTGGGAATGCCGCTTTCTGCGAACGGCGTAAAAGCGCTCATGAAAGCCCCTCGTGCGCATTTTCGACACCCCTCAGAGCAGCACCCCGAGTGCCTCCCGGCGACCTCCCGCCTCCTTCGCGTCCCTCGGGATCCCGCTTCCGCCCCGTAGCCCCGTGAGTCGCGGCAGGGCCTCAGAGCGGCCGCACGACCGCCGCCCGTCAGGGAGGTGCCGCGCACAGCCCGGGGCGCGGAGCCGCCGCACCCCGCACATGCTCACTGGGGCGCCGCGGGAGTCTGGGCATGTGCAGAGCGGAGCGGGCCGGGCCGTTCGCCGCGCCCGCCGCGCCCCGGGGCTGCGAGAGCCGCCCGAACGTTGCCAGGTGTAGCCGGGAGAGGTGAGGCGGAGCGGGGCGGGATGAACAGCTCGGACGAGGAGAAGCAGCTGGAGCTGCTGGTCAGCCTGAAGGACCGAGGTAGGGGCGGGCGGCGCCTCCGGCCGGCTCTGGGCGGACCGGCTCTCCCTCCTTCCCTCGGCCGCCGCCGCGGGCTCGGGCGGTGGGAGCGCGGCCGCGGGGAGGCGCGAGGCGGCGGCGCGGAGGGCTGTGCGGGGCCGGGGCGCGGCCTGCGGCGTGGGGCCGGCGGCGGGCGGCGCGGCCTGGGCGGCCCCCGGTTAGCTTAGCTTTCGGGCCCCTGTGGGGAAAAAAACGCAGGCTTGGTAAACGGGAGCCGGCGCGACGCGGCTCCGCGCCTGCCGGTTTTGTGCGCTGTCGGGGTGGGTGTCGAGTGAGTGATGGCGGGGCCGGCTGAGGGCGAGGAGCGCGGCACGTGTCTGGGTGCTGCCGCCTCGTGTGCTGGGAGCCCTCAGCGACAGCTGGCTGTCACTCTGGCCTCCCACGGTGTCGGTCCGTCCTGTCCCCTTTGGAAGAGGAACTCGACGGGAGTGCCGAGGCGTGGAGAAGTGAAAGCGTGGCTGAGATGGGCTTCCTGCAAAGGCTGTTTCGTGAGAAGATCCTCCTTGTTTCTAAACTCCGTGTCCCTGCTCTGTTGTGCGTGGCAGGAGCTGTTAACCAGCTCGTGAAACATCCTCTGCTCCACTCCTAATCACTTCCCGGTGATACGGCCCACGGCTGGCCCTCATATGCCACGAGTTTCTTTGCTGCCTTTGTAGTTCCAGTGTAAATGAACGAAGGGCGCGTTAGGTTCCCTGTGTGTCACTGCTTAGTGCTTTTGTAGGGAAGTTCGATGCTTCAGCCTTATGAACGCTCAAGTCCTAAGATATCAGAACATATTGTGTTGTTGGTAAGGAGGGACAAGGAAAAAAGTTGGATACTCAAAAGGTAGCCTGCATCTTCACTAGTCAGTCTGTTTCCAAACCAAACTGGTCTAGAAAAGTTTTCCTCTTGACTGTTTAGACAGATGACAGTCTCTGGGCTTAGTTATCAATCATCTGAGTTGTGAATGTTTTTTGTGAGCATCTCTCCAGAGACTGGAGTGCCTCTTGTTCTCAGCTTCGTATGCAGCAAACATATTACAGGCTATAACTGGATTGGGTCACCTCTGCTGTGCAGTAGGAGCTTCTCTGAAACTAATTTCAGGTGAATGTTTGTGGTCACCCACTTTGACACTTCCTTTTTTCCTGTGCCTGTACACTCTGCATTGTAAATTCATGATGTTTGGTTGTCCCAGCTGGATTCTGACTTACAAGGATTACAGTTGTAAAATTCATGATGATATATAAGTATGAGTTTTAATAGTGTGGGGCCAAAAAATAAGGCTAAAAAGTTGTTTGTTCCCAATTAATCGCTTCCTTCCAGTGCTGTTGGCTTCTGAAGAGTTGTCTGTACCAAAATGATGGCTGCTAAAATGGCAATGCTGAGTTGCTAACAAAGCAAGTATAGGTTATTCTTCAGAAATGCCAACATCTTGAACTTTCTTTGAGTTTTCTCATTGACTTCAGAAGAACTGGGGTTTCAGTATTGATGTCTGAAAGTCTTCTGCTCAGGTAGATGAGTGTCCTTTAATGTCTAAAAAACTTTATGGGACTTCAGGAGTTATTTCAAATGAAAGGCACTGTAACTTGAGTGCTAGCTGCCCTAGATCCTTTTAAGCTGTTGAAATAGAAACTAACAGGCAGATCCTGTCCTGTAACACGCTGTTCTTGATAGATGTTCTCCAAATGTAGGAGTGTTAGTAATTTGTTGTGGGACTGACAAATGTTATTGTAATTGCATGGCTGGCTGGGAAGCTGATTTTTATGGGAGAAGAATTATCCAGTGGAAACCTAATCGAAAATACTTATTTTTTGATATTGCATTGTTTTAGATGCAGATCAGCGCGTTACGCTAACATGCAGTTAAATGGTGTTAACTGAGGGGACTGAAGTGTCCCGAGTAAAGATCCCAGAGATGGTTGGAAAGAAGAAGAAAAAACCCCGAGTAATTTTTGTCTTTGCTGCTTCTAGGTGTAGATACAAATGTTACACCGAGAGTATATGGTGACGGAATGACCTGCGGTCTCTGAGGGCTTGAGATTCTGGGTGTATGTACTGCTCAGGAGTCCTGTGTTTATTGCATTCAAAGTGGTATATGGCTTGAGATTTATTGCGGCGTTACGGTCTGTTGTCAGATTTCTGGTTACACACATTGATTTGAAGGAGTTCGATCACATTCTCTCGGTAGCCTGCATTCAGTTTCTTTTTCAGGGTGTGTTTTTCCAGTGTTGAGAAACAGCCTGTATGTGACTCCAGGTGGCTGCGCTGGCTGGGTAGGTGGAGAGGGCAGCAGTTGTGTACGTGGCTGATTGCAGAAATGTTTCAGTGCTGCTTTTACTTCCCTTACCAAGGTCAGCAGGTTGCACCTGAGGCAGGTATTTGGTGGCTGCTGTGCAATTCTCAGTGGCAGCTGTGACACTGACTGGTGTCTGGACAAATTCACTTGGCTGTTTGGCACAGCTCTGCGCAGCGACAAGGACACTGAAACTGTCTGTGAGCATGATAAGCTTATCTTTCACCCATGCTGAATTTTCCAGGTCCTGTGGATTAGACCTGGATACTTGACACTGTTTGTTCTTCAGCTTGCTCTGTTGCCAAGTTTAAGGTGAACATCATGGAGAAACACGATCTCTGTATCAATGATATTTAAGCCTTAGAAGTATTATTTGAGTTTTCATTCTATAAAAAGCTTTCTGAGATGGCTTGATTAGATGAAGCAGGTATGCTATGAATACTAGCATTACCTAAATGTCCCTTTTTTACCTAAAAGTGGTGTTTTCAGCAGAGCACCAAACCAGCCTAACAGCTGCATGGTAGCCAGCATGGAAGACTGCTATGCTTGTCTTTGGTTTTATTGGTGCTGCTGAAACTTTGCTCTTAAAGAAGCACCTTCAGCTGTGTCACATCTTTGTTTAGCTGAAAACAGCAGTCAGCAACCACAACATCTGGAGTTATATGTTATGTAAGCACTTCTCCTGCCACTATCACAAACTCCTGGTGACTTAGCAAAATTACTGTAGTTAATGACCACCATTAACTGCAGATCTACTACACATGATTTTCTTAATCTATTTTAAAGGTCTTACCTTTGTGTTGGTTTTTTCTTTTTTATGAAGTGTGATGGTTTTGAGTCCCTCATCCTGAACGTTTATTATTATTTTAAGATCTACTCACTCCCTTTAAAAAAAATAGCACCACAAAGTTTGAATGCATCTTCTTTAGAACTTCTTTAGTCTGGCATGAAAATCTGAGAGTGGTGCTATGTATGTGTTATTGACAAGCTCTTAATGTGATTTCACAAATTTGTTCTTTGTGGCGGAAAGGTGATCTTTATGGCCAGAGGGACTTTTTTATTCAGTTGGGATGCCCTGTTGGCTTCTGTGTTTCCTTCTGTAGGCATCTGCTCTACACACTTTTTCCTATGTAAGCGTGTTTTTTGGGTTTTTGTATGCAGAAGCCATCGTTTCCCCAGCAGGACCGATCATGTATGAATGCTTTCTTCATTTGTTGGAGTTTAACAGTGTTTCCTGCTTCAGCTTTTTGGTGTAACACTATCCGTTTTTTCAGAAAGTTGCGAAGGCAAATTGTTTGATATAAGCTTAATGGTTAGGCTTTATCAGGCTGTGGTATGTTTAATTTCCCTTTCTGTTTTCCAGGGAGCTGTGGGACTCCCAGGGTACAGTGCAGGATACAGCAAAGTGTTTACTAATTGAATCTTACAGTTTATACGTGGCTGATACTACCAATGCCACGCCATGTCCTGCTGGAAGAGTGGTTGCCTGGGCTTAGCAGAAGGGATCTTTGACCATAAGATTGGGAACAACAGAAAAATCCAGTCCTTCTGGCATGTGTTTTTACTCCTGAGAGCAGTTACAGGTCTTCTGCACACTTGGCTTCTCAGGAGATTGTTGCACAAACTGTCTCCCAGATAGCAACAGATTTGGCCCGACTCTTTGTTTTCCAGGTACACTGGGATAAGCAGCCAGCCTGATGGAGCTTCTCTTGTGCTCTTGCTGTCAGGGATGATTCTCCCTCTCACAGTGTCCAAAGCTGCCAAAGGCCAGGTGTGAATTTGCTTCATTAGGATAGCTTTTTGCACTGAAAGCTTTGGCTGTTGCCTGCACCAGTAAATACATGCCCAGCCTGCAGCCCAGAAGGACAGGTAGTGGAATGACATGTACTTTTCTTGTGCACTACTTATTTTTTTGATTGAGTAAGTCTGGAATGCTGAAGTGGCATTATGGGCTGATTTGACTTGGAAGGCTCTCCATCTACTTGAAGGCCACTCTGGTTTGCAATATAAATGCTGAAGTATATGAGTGTAGAATTTTCTTATTTGTGGTTTTTAATATGCAGCTTTAGAAGGTGTTTTTTTTGTTTTTTTTTTTTTTAAATAAAAGACTGGGAAATCTCACTGTGTATACATGCAGGTGTCTTTTCTGTTGCTCAGTGTAAATTATAATCATAACATAATTGTAACTCTTTTGACCTTGTTTTACTAATAAGTGCTTTTTAACATAACGTGTATATAAATATATAAATCAACTAATTGAGGTGACACATCTTCTGTTAGTAAATCCAGGTTCAGACTAGTTGAAAATAAGATCAGTGCTGGCTGGGAGTACGTTTTGCGTGGGTTGGGAGCCGTAGCCAAGAATATTCTGTTCTTTTTTCTTTGTAAAATTTTTGTTTCCTTGGTGTTGAAATCAACTTGCTGTGTTGCACCTCGGTCTGCAAGAAGTTAGCCTGCAGCAAAGGAATTTATATCTTGCTATGTTACTTCCGTCACACTACTGTGTATCAGGGATAAGTCTGTTAAAGATGAACTGAAATCTGTCAGGCAGTGGCAGTATTCCAAGGTATGTGATAGGTATTTAGTAAGGTTCTTCAGGGTTCGTGGGAGGTGAGTGGATACAGAGTGGGAATTTTACTATTCATGTGTGTTACAGTGCTGATTCTTTAAGGAAAATGATGTAGAGCTCCAGAATTTCAGTAGCATCTTTAGTATAGCATCTTCCCTTGTTTGTTTCGCACACTACTAATCTTTATTTGCAGGGTAATGTAAGTATAGCATAATCTGAGTGAGCCAATGTGAGACATAAAAAGATTTAAGATGCTGGGATGCTATTGTCAGGGGTACGCTGTGTGGGAGCCTTTGTGAAATAAGGAGAAGTGGTAGTCCTGGCTTCTACAGAGGAATTAGGTGCTGCTGTACGAGGACTTGCCTATGGCTTGTCAATCAAGGGAAAAGTGATAATGATACTTTTTCTCCCAAAAATGTTTTTAGGGCTAAAAAACTCTATATATGAGTTTTACAACATGAAGTGACATCTAGTTGCTGCTGTATTGGTTCTCCTAGGACAGCTTTAGAGTGATGAGATCATTTCTACCTTTATGCAGTTCAGCACTTTAATGAACATTAGTTGGACTTGTGACTCTTTCAGGGGCAGCCTCAAAACTCTGTTGTACATTAAACTTTGAAAAGGTTTATATAAAGTCTCTATATAATTAAAAAAAAACCCACACAATCTCTATTGTTAAAAATTACAAGATCCACCAGCTTTCCGTTCACCCTTCATAATTTATAAGTTCTATTCTTTGTAGAGAATCTAACTTTCCTGATAAAATGAGCATTAGCATTTTGTAAATCCATACAGAAAATCTAAAGAGTGAGGTCTGTATGGAAACACAATGATCCAGGAATTGCCTTGCATGAAAATGTCAAAATAAGATAGCAGAACATTGCTACTTATATTCTAGAAAAAAGTAATTGTTTTCTTAATTCCAGCAAGGGGGTGGGCATGGTGAAAAGGCATTGCAGTGTGAGCTTGGCACGAAGCAGCTGATCATAGAATCATGGAATCACAGGGTTGGAAAGGACCTACAAGATCATCTAGTCCAACCATCCTCCCATTACCATTGCTACAATGATGATTTTGTGTTCGCATTCCATGACAAATGTGTTGTGTTCTACCAACAGCTGTAGAAGAGGGAATGGCTTCCTCCAGCATACTGTTCAATTCCCAATCACATAGGTGAGCTGTTGGCACGGGTTGTTGGAGTGTTGTGTAAGCTCCTGGCTGCCTGGCTTTGTGGGAACTTGTTCCTGTGTCCCAGCCTGAGGGGCTTATGACTTCAGAACTGTTGGTTCACAGAGCAGATGAGAGCTGCACTCACATTTTTCATTGCATAACAAATTAGTTGGCCTTAAAAGTGAGCATGTGCTATCAGTTTACAAGGAAGCAGTATCTGTAGATACAGACTTCATCCTTTTCTTGCATCTCACTGCTGGTGTTAGAAGCCTGCCTCTGTTTTTCTAAAAGGAGCACAGAAATGGCATAGTAGTAGAGCAGTGATCAGGAGACATAGCTTTTACATTTCTCTATATGAAGTGTGTTTTGTTTCACTTCAGGAGCTCTTCAGGTTAACCTAGCAGCAGGGTGTTGCCATGGCCCTGTTCCTGGTCTGGGCACACCAGAGCCCTGTGTTAGAGGGACTGACCAAGGAGCTGCAACTGCAGTCTGTCTCCCAGACTCCTTGTACTTTGCAGCCATGTCTCTACAATGAAATGATCTTGGAGAAAATAAAGTAATTTGAGTTTGTTATGTTTGATATATTTCTGTGTGAGTAACAGATGTGCTTAAGACAAGCAGAACTGTGATATCTCAGACATAGCTTTCAGTAGTGAGTTGAATTTGTTTTATTTCAACAGATTTTGAAACACTGGGGGTAGGGGAGAAGAGAAACATCACAGCTGTGCACAGCGTAACTTGATTTCTAAGAGCTTCGTGTTTGAAAATGTTGGGGTATTTAAAGCTGGAAAGGAATAGCAGGTTTTCAGGTGGCTCATCTACCAGACTTTGCACGGTCATGTCTTCAGATGAAGTTTCTCTTACCATCTTACCCTAAAACATCTCTGTTATCTGAAAGCTGTGTATTCAAAACCTTTATCCAGTTCTGCTTAAGCTGGGTTAAAATAACACTGGTGTGCTGGTATAACTTCCTCTTGTATGTGAGAATGTTTTGAAGAAGTGGGTATTGAGGGGCTGGAAGAAGAGGTAGGATAATGTCTTATTTTATTCATATAGTATGCATCTTAAATACTGAACAGAGTTCTGTTCTAACACAGTTTCTTTACTACTTTGGAGTTGTGTTCACACTTTTTCATAATAATAGTAGAATTTCTTGAAGGTCAAAACAGTCCTGGCACACACAAGAAAAATCCCATAGACTGATTGATTATTTCTGTGCATCGTTTACTGGTTTGAAACAAGGGACCTTCAGCATCCCAGAGGTTGAGCCGTTCCTTGCTGATCCCTGTAGCTGAGTTCATGTGTGATTTTGGATAAATTGTGCTGTCTTCTTATGTCTTGCTCATGGACTGTAAAGGGAAAAAGCGTCTCATAGGACTTCTGCTGTGAGAAAATATTTAAAGAAATAAAAAAGGTGCTCAGCTCTTCTGGTGGTATATCTGCGTATCTATACGTAACAGTATTGCATTAACAGTGCTTGCTACCATTAATCTGTAACCTGAGCCAGTGTGGGTTTAAGCTAGTGTCTACAAGCCAGTGCATTCACCTTGTAATTTTTGAACTCAGTCAATAAGATTGTTTAACTTTCCATTGATCAACAATTGATTGTTTTGAGAGCTACTATCCTTTTCAGATGCTTTCCAATTACTTCAATTCTAAAAGGGTGTCCAGTTGATCCATAGGCTATTAATAAAGTTTATGACCCATGTTATTCAACATATACGTAGAGAGCCAGAAGAGCTTTAAAATGAATAAGTAGAAAGCTAATCTGAGTAAAAGAGATGTTGCAATGTTAACCTTTTTTTTTCTTTATTTTTCTTTTATAGCTATTGGCGAATATGAAGAGCTTAGAGCAGAAAATAAGAAAACGAAAGAGGAGGTTTGTATTGAAGGATCATTTCCTTAATACTAAAATGTTAAATATCAGAATATTTTATTGAGAGGTTATTGTCTGCTTTTGTGAGCTCAGCTGATTATTTAAAATGGCATCAATAATCAGTACTTCTTGTACCTATATGTGTTAAGGAGCAAAGGAAATAGCTCCCAGCAGCTGTTCTAGCTGTCTTAGACCAGAAAAGTTGCTATAAATATATGAGTATATATATTTAAGTGACTATATCTATAGCTGGTTTACATTGTCAGCGTAGGCCAACAAAAGTGTTTAAATATTCTTAGGAAAACTTGTTTCCTTTGGATCTAAACATTGTTATAATACAGCTTGATTTGTGTGCTGAATAGGAATTAGAACAACTTAACGAACAGGAAATAGAACAACTCCTGCCCTAACCCAGTCCTTCTAAAAGTTCAGAATGTGGGAGTACGATTTCTGAAGGTACTCAGTTCTCTCTCTCCACAAGATTTCTTTGAATAGGAGATGTCTCACCTCAACATTAGGAGTGAAGCTTAAAACAGATTTGCAATATATTGCATATCCTGCTGTGAAATATGTGCACCTATGTAACATGAAAAGAGACTTTGAATTTGTGGACTTAATATCATTCATTACTCTGGGCTCTGTTTTTTTAATGTTCTGAAGTTTGGTGATACAAACATAAGGGCCACTTTGCAGATTTGTTAATGTAATTATGGTAAGCTGTCTTCCTAGTAGTGAAGTTCAGCTCATTTGGCAAAGTATCTCTCCTCACCCTGGACTCCTATGAGGAATCCCAACAAGAAGAGAGACCTTGGAGAGGGGCATGATGACAGTGTTGTGCTGTCTAAATCATTGTCAGTGTGCAAAAGGTTTTTAGCAAGTATCTGCCAAAAGAAACTGTGATCAGGGAAAACTTCTTATCAGGTCTAGATAGTGGGGAAGGCAATGAGGGCACTGCCACTTTGTATGGTGAGCAGATTTCCCTTTCTCCTGTACTAGGGAACATTATTAGCTGCCAGAGCATGAAGGTTTAGTTCTGCTTTCTGTGAAGTCATTTCTAAAATGTCAATTTTAGTCTGGTTGTCATAAACATTGCAATTCAAAGCTCTAATGGGGAGACCTTGTCCTTAACTACTTTCTCATTATTAAAAAAAACCCTCAGAGCTTCTTTTCATATTTTGTTTCAACAGTGATGCTGTATATATCCACTGAGCTCAGCATATTCTGCTTCACTCCCTTCTTCCAATGATACCATTTCTTTTGTGCTTGTTCCTGCATTCCCATTTGCTGCCCTACACCAGAGCCTTGATATCCCAGGAAATCTGTCCTTGATATTCACTATTGAGAAAACTGGGGCAGTTAACTTCTAGTGGCTGTCCAGCACAGTACACAGTCTCTGGCAAAGCCAGCAGCAGAGAGGGAGGGGTGTAAGATCATATGCAATACCTCCCCAGAGTATTCCTCTAGTCTGCAGATTGTCTGTTACCCATATTTTGAGCTGTGTGTTTTCTGTGTATTCTGCCCCCAACAACTCTGTCTTTATTGCGTGTGTCCAGGCTTCCCTTGAGCTGATGTTGGTGAATTGGTTTCCATCACATGCAAGGAGTTCCATAATGGGACTTTCCCATGCCTGGAAAATGAGTGCTCCAGCTTTGCCCTGACACCTTGGGAGTTTCTTCAGCAAAGTTTTCTTTGTGTCAGGGAAAGGACAGGGATTATTGTTCAGGACGGTTTCTTTGAACTGCATTTTTATTAACAATTTGTTTTTTCAAAGGCAATTTAAATGAAAAAAAAAGTCTTTCCAAAATCAAGATGAAATGAGAGGTTCTGAGGTTACTACTACATTCTGCTTTTCTTTCTTTCTTGTTCCTCTTTTCCATAAGATGTCTTATTACTGCATATATGTAGTCACTCTTGTGTGCTTCTTCTGAAACTTGCTATGATGTTTCTCAAAATACTTGCATAACAGTTGAGAATCCTCTAGCATATTCCTAACTGATTTGCCCAGCTGTAAGATGGGAGATGCAAGAGCCTCCATCCTGCAGACTGGTGAGCTTATGTATGCAGTTCTGCTTAATTGTTGAAGAGCTTGGACTCAAGTGGTTAAGTGTGAGGCTGTAAGTACATTTCTTGTACACAAAAAGAATCTACTGTTAAGGAGTTCATGGCTGTGTTTACTTACAGCACTAATACTGGAAGAAACTATTGTAGGGCTGTGTAATCCTGCAAGCTTATTAGTGTCTCTGTAACTGTATGTCTAGTCTATGATTTGCAGGATCAAACATGATGCTGGAGGAATTGTGACACAAGCTGTCTGTGTTTTTGTCTCTTGGAAGCTGCAAGTAAATTCTGTTCCAATTTCTGCCAATGTCTGTCAGGGTGTAAGCTTCCTCTGTATCCATTATGGACACCACAGTTGCATCCAAGATGCGAGAGAATTTTTTGAAGACTTGCAGATGATTTGTGGGAAGTACCACCTAAAGTTAGTCTTTATGTCTGTGCTTTTGATACGCTCAGTGGAATTTTTTTTTTCTAAGTCACCAGTACACATGTATGACTGAAACATGAGCTGTTTCTGTTTAACTAATGGAAAAATGATCCTGCTTAATATTAGATCCTACTGGAACTAAGTGCACTGCAGATGTGTAACTCAGAATCAAATGTAATTTTAGTTTTTGAAAATATGTGCTCTTTGTCCCATATTTTTATTCTTTTTAAGATTAGAAAGTCAATTGTCTTTTATGTATACTACTTTGTTTGGAAAACCACTGCTTGAGAGAATGCTACTAACCTTGGCAATTCAGGAGTACAAGATCGGATCTTTGGTCCATTGTGTTTCTTCCTCAGTCCCTCGTTAAACTGCCAATTTGGAGATCTCTGCTGGGGTCTCTGACAAAATTGGTGCGGGCATTTTTTTAATTTATATTTTTAAATACTTTGAAAATCTGGAACAAAAATGACATTGGCAGATTACTTCAGTCTTCCTTTTAATTGTAGTAACTGACTAAAAATTTGTGCTAGTTCACAAAAAATAGAAGATAACCAACATTCAGTTACACACAAATATAGTTAATATGCAGTTCTGACATATTCATAGTCAGATCATGAATAAATATTTGACTACTTGCTAATCAGCCAGAAATGACTCCAAACACTGGTTTTGACAGTGTTTTGTCATTCTGCCAGTAGGGGAAAAAAAAAGCAAGACAGCTTTCCAAAACAGTAGGTGTAATACTGTATCTCTGATACATCATTCATGGTGTTTGTTCTGTTAAAGCACGTGTACAGAGTGGATTATATGTTTTGTCACCAAATGGGAACAGAGAAGGGATTCTGCCTTGATGACATGCTCATTCTTTCGAGGAGCATAACAAATGTCATGGGATACTTTTGCACGCTGCACCAAACTAATAATTTTAGAACAAGCATTAAGTCTGCATAAATTGTACAATCTGTTTAAAGGGACAGAATGTATCTTGTGTTGCTTAGCAATGGCTTAATTGACTATATGGCTGCTCTGTGTACTTCTTGTATTTTAATATCTGGGCTGAACAATCTCCTTCTTGTCTTTGCCCTTTGAAGGCCTTTTACTGAAAGTAGTAGGAGCTTATGCAAAAAGTAGTTGGCAAAATAGATGACTGCTAGATGAAAATCAGAGAAGAAATCCACCAATTGCCTCCCTGAAACTAATGGCAAAAAGTCATGGGGTGAGCAGAGTGGGTGTGCAAACCACAGCCTTCCAGGTGGTTGTATGCACTGTCTGCACAGCATCGCCTGTTTGTATCAGGTTCCCATGCTGGCAGGGTACCCTCTTGCTACTGTGCTCATTCCCAATGCAGGCTAAGTTCATTTACTGTCATTCACAGCACTGAATATGCAGTGTTTGGTGTGAGCACCAGTGTTTGCCATGTAGGTGATTTGCTTCTAAGCAGTCAGCATTTTAGTCTGTTCTCTTTGCATTAGAAAGGAAAGGATCGTCTCTGATTGTTTGCCTCAAAAGCAAAAATTTTGTAGTGAGCTGCATTGGCAAAAGTCCCATAATTGCTGCTCTAAAGGTAAAGAATTAAGGAATTAAAAAGATGAATTTTGGAAACCGAGCTGTTACTTCTTTCTAAATGGGCAAATGCAATGACTTCTTATTGCTGGAATTTAATAGTGGCTCCTGTACCTAGTTCAGGACTGAAATGTCTATTGCCTATTAGCACTGGTTTATATTGGAATAATGATGCTATAAATACTAGACTAAAACATAGTAAATAAAATGGTATAAATGGTTATTTTGTTGGAACTCAGCATAATAAAGTTTAAAACAGAAGAAATGGCTGACAAGCCAGGAGTAATCTGCTTTCATTCCATTTGAGGATATTATTGAGTTTGGAGCTGTTGGTTACTTCTGACAAGGGAATAAATGCTTGTAAACTGCTCTTTCCTTCATCAGTTCGTGCACTTAAATGTGAAAAGTGAGCAATGTATTTTACAGGAGTAGAACACTGTTTCTCTTTTAACATTTAGGATGAGTAGCGTGCTTGTTAATTAACAATTCTGCTGTGTATGCCTCTGCTGCCTTTTTGAAATGAAGAAGTCTTGAATTTTGATGACTTCTGTACATTTTGTCAGACAGCTAATATATCTACATTTGATATTTTTCACCATTTCCTATCAGTGTTTCTTGTCACAAATCTTAATCATTTTGTGTGAATAGCTTGCAGAACTTTCAGGTTATAAACAGTACAAAGAGTTAAACATAGTCTCAACTTTCTCTTATTTTTAGCCAATTTGAAGATAAACTTTTGTTTTTGCAGGGCTGTGTAATGGCTTTGCTTGTGCAGGTCTGATTGCAAGACAAAAGGCAAACTGCTTTCCATTGATCATTTCAGCAAGGGCAACAATCTGCCGCTCTCTTTTCTTCCTGCTCTTTTATTCTGAAGCGCAGCAGCCACCAAAGAAAATATTCAGAAAGCTGTAACTGGGAGCAGGAATTACTCTGCAGAGACCCAAAACTGCACACCCTGATTGTGCAAAGAAACATGTAGCTATCAGGAGAATCGTCTAGTTTGCTGTGGTCCGAGTGGAGCCCTCTGCAAATAGCACTCAAGGTGAAGTGGAATGGGTCATTTAACTTCCCCTTTCACTGTACAGGCAAAGCTGTTACACTTTGCAGCATGTTACTGGGGGGATTTCAAAAGGAATTTTTTCTCCTGTGATAGAGGATGCGATATGCTCACTACATCAAGGTTTCCATCAGCAGGAAAGCATCTTGTTGACTTCCATGGGCAGCGGATTAGATCCTTAAAATGCTAATTTTTGTGTATATGTTTTTTTAAACTGAGCATTAAAAATCACTTTCTCACTTCATATGCAGAGGGCTGTAAGCCTGCAGAGTGCAGAAAAGTCCGTGGGTGAACTATGCCAGTATAGTACAGTGTCTCTGTTGTAAAATGTGAAGAGGCAGCAGCTGCAGCAGCTCACGCTGCTCCTCCTTTGCAGTTCAGCTGTGCTGTGCGGGAACAATCAGAACTACTTCCTTTCTTTATCTTTCTGCCTTCTGTTCTTAGACTGTGCTGCTGCTGGTAAGGTAAGACAAAATTCTGCTGAGGAAGCTGAGAGGGAGGGCAGCAAGTTGCAGGATTCTTGCACACATTTCCCTTTCCACTTTTCCTATGCAGGATGCTCCTAACTTCTTTGACACCCCACAGTGCCGGATGAAACAGCGTCGGGCGTGTCATGCTGCTTGGGCAGCATGGCTTGCTCCTTCTGCAGCTCTTCCCTGTTTCACAGACCCTCATCCCTACTCAGCAACTGTCCTTCGTCTCATCACACCAAAGCAGCAAGAGTGCTCAAGTGCAGCTCCTGCAGGCAGCCATCAGCAGTAGCTTCCAATGCTAGCACTGAGACTGCTCCCACGGTGCCACCGATGACAGCCTTTCCTTATCCAAGAACAGGTCCTTCTTTGGGCTTCATCCAAAGTCCTTAGGGGCTGAGAGAAGGGCTCTCGTGAATTTGGCTTCCTTTGAATCAGGCTCTCCTCCTTGTTACTTAACAGCAGGCTCCTTTCCCGGCTAACTCAAAGTGGGTCCTCATGTGGAAAAACTGAAAATCGAGCAAAATCATTTCAGCTTTCTTCTTTTCCCAGTTCTGTTCCAGTGATTGGAGTCATTGTAACTGCAGGAGGAGTTGCACTGTAAGGAACTCAGTCACATAGATCTTTTCCAGAAGTTGATTTATGATCTTGAATACGCATGGCTGCGTGTGAGGAAGAATGTTGGTACACCATGAGTGTGAGATGCGTTATGTGCCAGTCGTACTTCCCCCTGGGTCATGTGTTTTTCAGTGTGGTTAATCACTCACTGTGCCTCTTGTGAAGTTTACTCATTTCTGTGGTTTCTTTCATTTGCTTCTAAAAGGGGTTTTATTAGAAAAGTCTATTGAATGTCTGTTTTGTTCTTTGTCTTTGATGAAATCTTTCCATCGTAAGATAGATGATTGCAATGCTTTGTAGTATTGGTGTTAACCTGAAAATTAACGAAAGGGAGATGGTATGAAAATGAGTATCCTTCCCTTTTCAAGATTGAATCGTTGTTCGTAGTGTTACGAAACTCAATTGGATGTCCCTGGTTACTGACTGTGGATATTTTTATTGCATGTGGTATGAATAGAAATGAATGTATTTTTTAAATCTATTTGTTTTAAAGACTTAAGGCATATTCATGTCATGTGGTTCCTGGATGACTTTGTTTATATCAGTTTTGGATAACATAGGTTTTCTAAAGCATTTTGAGTAGCACTGAAGGGGAGCCAAAAATCAAGTACAACTTGCCATTCTGTAAAGAAATGCTCTGGATGATGACTTTTAAATTAAAGCTCCCATCAATCTAATACGACTGAAAGTAAAAAGATATTATGCTTTGATAGGCTTCTGTACATTATTGTTCCAGTAGGTGATCTTTGTTTATTTTTGCACTGTTACCGCACGTTGTGGCTGACTGCTAATTAAGTATCTGGGATCAGTGTTTCATTTCAGTTTTCTCTTTTCCTAGTGTGACAAAATCAAGCAAGAACGAGATGAGGCTGTCAAAAAACTGGAGGAGTTTCAGAAGAGTAAGTTGTCGTGTTAGTGGAATTTTTTTTTATATGAAGGAGTTAAGAATATAGTTCTGCAGTCTATAAAGTGATGTTCAGGATGCTGCGATTGAGGTCCTCTTGATGTTTCTCCTTCAAAGTCTTCCTTTAACGAGCTTATCGGTAAGACTTCGATTATTGCCAGACAAACTGCTGTCACAGAGTTTACAGGTTCTGACACAGGTAGCTATTTTTAAGGTACAAAGTGGTGAAAATAGTGGTACAGATGTGGCTCTATCTCACCAGGACTTTTCAGGTGGCTTTGAGAGTAACACATGCTTGGAGTGAATGGGATTTATCCTATAGTTGAAGCTACTACTACTACTACTATTTTTATCTTGAAGGCAAAAATATTGCTTTAAGCACAGACACACCATCAAAACTTTTTAGGATGATCTGATGTCTCTTGATAACTTTCAAAGCAAGTTCTTTCTCGCCTAGTCTGTGTGAATGTTGATATTCAGTTCTGCACTTCTGTGATAATGGTTCTATTGAAACTGTACGGTGTCTGGAAGCAACAAAGCACATCTAATGGGAGTGGAAGTATCCTGGTGGACTAGCTCCTTAGAAGAGACAATTACAGTAGGATTGTGGTCTGTTGTGTCTGGTTTGTGCCAGTACGGTGAACTGCACGATGAAGCATTAGAAACGTGGATGAAGTTAATGCAGGATAAGGAAATCACATGGTCTGTACTTTTGTGTGACTGTGTTAATAGAGGAATTTGCTTGCTTCTGTTTTGTAATTGTTTGCATGATAAAATTATGGAAAATAGTGTAAGATCAACAGGAATCATCTACTGCCGTAAATGGTCGTAGAGAACTATTCTGTGAGGCAAGAATGTTCTCTAAGAAGCCTATTTCTTCTGGGAAAAATTGAAGCCCGTTTTGTTTTTGTTACGATACAAGGAATACCAGAGCGTGGCAGAAAATGCCAAGTAGTTAAGACATAAAATTTGAAGTAATATTTGATGTTGTAAAATTTTATAGGTTTCTTTTATCTTCCTTTCACATTTTTAAAGGACATACCTTGTAAACATAGTGATAAAATGCCAGAAATATTAGGATTTTAAGGCAATAATAGAGCCCATTATTTAAACGACAATATAAAAGGCAATTATATTGATGAAGAGCTACATCGGCTTTGTGTCTGTGAATAAACTTGGCCTGTACTCAGCTTCTATTTGTTCTCCTGGCATAAACACATATTGTGTGTGATTCCAGTTTAATGGGGCCCCGTTTGTATGCCAAGCAGCTGCATTTTAGGCCCTATTGCGTGATTTCATAGCTCTCTGAAAATTGGTTCTATTGAGCACAAGAGATAGAAGGTGGTGGTGGGGGGGAAAGCTTCAACACACAATCATTTCTTTTCAATTGGAGCCAGCAAGGTTGATGACAACATGACCATTGTGTTATAATGATAAGACCACTAAGGATCTGTACCTCTCATCAAGGCTTTCACACAACAGCAGATACAATTTAATTCACTGCTCTGTCAGCAGTGCTGATACCATTATGCCGTCTGTCTCCACAGTTATAATCACTGTCCTCCGAGAAATGCAGTTGAAATGATCTTGAGCAGTCAAAGAAACTCTCAATTAAGGCTGCCACTTCCAATGTGTCAGATTGTGTCTTATGCACTTGGTACAATTTTCACTTCCAATCCTGTTTATTTACAATGTCTACCAGTAATTACGCTTAACATGTCATTTAGTGAGGGTGCCCCTGCCAAGGAGATTGTTGGGTGCTGTAGTACCATTGAGTGGGAGTTTCTCGCAGTCAATGCCATCAGCGGCTTTTAGTCCCTGATGGGATGCAGTAGTAATGTTGATAATGCAAGTATCGTGCTCATCAAGTCATAATTAGATGCCACTCAAATGTGCCACTTGTAATAACAGTGTTGATTCATGTTTTCTCGGTGACTGCAACTACTAATTAGTTAAGTGGTTTTTGGTTGGCCTGCATTTGCTGCGGATTATTATTACCCCTGAAAAAAACTGTCAAGGTTAGAGATGTTTCAGGCCACTTAGTGCTGCTTTATGAATTTTAATATTGACATAATAAGAACTTTGGAAAGACTTAGGAAATAATATATTTTTGTATTTAATTTGGAAAGATTTTTTTTTCCCTGAGTTAATCATAATTGCAGGTTAATTAAGTTTAAATGAACCAAGAGTAATCCCTAGTTCTACCATGTGAGCCCAATCCTTGTTTCCTAACTTGTGCTAGCTTGATTTGGGGGCACTGGATTTCTGTCTATGAAATGGGAGCTGCTCTGGATCTCCATGGGCCCCTCGTCCTGACTAGAGCATTTCATTGCTTCAAACTTCTAGAGCTAAGTGGAATAAAAGCAGAACAGAGATGGGCGCATGCTGCCTGAAGCTTTCCCTCATCCAAATTAAATGTAGCCTCTGGTAATGGCATACTTAGAGCACAGAACTTCTCTAAAGCCAAGAAAAAAAAGGAGATAAAAGACAACCAAAGAAAGATGTGGTGGTTCTGCTATTAGAAGAAATTATGAATACAGTTTGTGGACCAAAATTTTCCAGTTTCCCCCTTCTCTTTTTTTCCTGCTTTGGTGGGCAGTTAACAGTGCTTCAGAGGACTGAACTGCAGTCCTTCAACTCAGATGATCTGTGGAATGCCATTAAAACTGCTTACATTTTGTAGAACTTGTTAATTGCATGCAGCTTCTGACTTGGCAGCACACTCCAATGTACTGCTGGCTTCCTATGTGATTAGCTATAACATTAGTTAATATTGACCAAGTATCAATAAAAGTGCTTAAGTGAAACTTGCCAGCAGTCAGTGTTTCCTATCCTGAAGCCTTGTTCTGTAGCCATTAAGATGATCTCTGGATGTCAAAGGGGACTTAAGTGTTTCTCTTCAGGTTTCAGGGAAAAGTCTCACCAGAGGACTATTTGCTATTACTGTTATTCTCTTATGGTAGTACTTCTGAAACCAGAAGACTGGAAGGGAGAAGTAATCTCTTTGTAAAACCTGGGTTAATCTTGTAGTGTAAAAATATGGAGGTTCTCATTTTATAAAATCTGCATCTGTGCCAAATTTTCATAGAATCATAGAATGTCTTGGGTTGGAAGGAACCTCAGGGATCATGAAGCTCTAACCCCCTGCCGCAGGCAGTGCCATCAACCTCCATATCTAATACTAGAGCAGCCTGCCCAGGGCCCCATTCTACCTGGCCTTGAACACCTCCAGTGGTGGGGCATGCACAGCCTCTCTGGGTAAATTATTCAATTTTCAATTGAAATAATGATGGCAGTATTGAGGGACAGTCCTTAAGATATCACTCTGATTCCTTGAGTGTCAGTGAAGTAAAGCTGGTGAATAACGATGATCAGCAGAAGCGTTTCTGCTGGCCTTCTGCTTCCTTAAGTTCACTCTCGATTCTTCAGTTCCCTGTCTGGTGCTGCAGGCATGGCTTGAGGGAGTTGCTTAAAGCAGTGATTCCAATATTCAGTGTTCAGAGCAGTTCCTATCCATACAGGTTATCTAATTATGTACTTCTCAGTTTTTGAAATTTTTATATAGAAATTAGAAAGGTGTAATACTTCTGATCATGGGATGCATGTGTCAAATGCAGGAAAACAGTGACTAATTTTCACATTCTCCCCATAGTTTCTCACATGGTTATTGAGGAAGTAAACTGTATTCAGAATCATCTCGAAATTGAGAAGACATGCCGTGAAAGTGCTGAGGCTTTGGCTTCTAAGGTGAGAATTACAGTGTTTTTATTTCACCTGATTTCTTTTTTTTTTTAAACTTGCTATTGTGTGCATTTCCCATATATGTTCTTGCATAATTTTGTGGATCTTTGAAATGGTTTTGAAGTAGCAAAAGCTAACGCCGTACGTGAGATGCAAAATACAGTTCCTGACTGTGGATAAAAAGAACCCATTTGAATTTTTTTTTTTTGTTATTTTTGAAGAATAAGTCACAGACCAACTTGTTGATACCAACACTTTATATGCATTTAGGTTAAATGGAAAACAAGTTTTAGAGCTGTCCTGTGTGAGATATAAAACAGTAATGAGCATTTCAGTGTCTAAATCAAATGGAAAAAGTCAACCACTGCATTACATTTCAGGTGATTGTTTGTGAAAGCAAAGCGAGGGCAGGGGAAAGGTGACCTCCGCTGCTCTGTTGATTGCGTCTAGTCTGATGAATTTAGCAAGTGTGTAATTTTCTATATTCCATCTCATCAGAAGTGCATTATTATTAAAGAATGTTTTTATCTCTCTGTTGTATATTTTTGGTTGTATAAAATGCATCTGAGCCACTTCATCAGAAAATGGATTACAGCAATTTTGAACCAAATTTCATTAGCAATGCTGACTGCTTTTTTTTCCCCCCTTCCTCTCCTCCCCATCCCCTGCCCAAAGTACATCTTTAGATATGGTAAAAATCACACCAGCAAGAAATCACTTTAATTTAGATGCATTAGCAATGTACTTTCTGGAGGTATTTACTTAATTGTTTCCATAATGACACTATATTAGAATTCATAAGATAGGCAATCAGCATATACATAAGAAAATGAATGTATTTATGTAACTTTTCTCCTTCTCTGCACTCTTTCTGTAATGGGCATGCAGAGGCAGTTCTGAGACTAGCTTTGTCCCTTGAGGCTGCTTTGCCAAAGCGGATTTGGTGCCTTAAGCTGACTGAACCATGTAAGGTTGCATATGGCCTTCCCACTTTCTCAGTTTTGTTCTTTGGGAATGAGATGAAGTTCTGGGATAAATCTCCTGTAGTTAGGGGGCTGAGGAAAGGATTGAGTCAAAAGCGATTGCTCAAGCAGGAGGTCAGGGTTAGCTTAACTGTTTTATGTTTTATTTCAGAGCAGAGGTTGGACTTCTGAAATGTAGGTTGACTGGAATGTGTTGTGTGGAAAACTGAGTGTTATTCTTAGAGCTGAATCCAGGGAGTGCTTGGCCAGTGGGCAGACATCCCAACACACACCTGTCTGCTCCTGAGATTAGCAACTGAGAGCTGTTAGCAGAGGTGGTTATGTGTGGAATAGTGAAAGAAGCTTTGAAAGCGAACTTCTGCAGTAATCCCTGTTATTCATTTTTTCCTGGCACCTTGGTCAGGATGAGATGTGTTATGAACCAGGCATGTGCTTAAGCATCCAGCCCACAGTGGTTTCTGTCTTGAGGTCTGATACATAAAGAGTTGGTATGTGATATGGCTTTCATTTCACATATGTGACTTCAGAATTTTGTGGTAATTCTGTCCTCACTGGCAGTATAGTAATTGTTTGTTATTTGTAGTTTACAAGCTAAGTAAGAGGTTTCCTTTGACCAGTTGATAGAAGTGGCAAAACCAGTCAAGCTTTTAGGATCACAGCCCTTTTCTTCAGGTCATTCTGCTGGGGCTGCTGTTGGTACTGGTACGTGCTTGACGGTCTGGAGCTGAAGCAGCTATCACAGAGACAGCATAGCATTATGAAAGCTTAATAGTAGATTTGGTTTGAGCCTATGCAGGTTGTTTACTAGTTGAAAGTGTGAGAAAGGAATGTCTTCCCTGATGGAAAAAGGGCATAGATGACGTATCGTGTTGAATTCCAGCCTGCTTAGAGAAGGAGGGGAAGCTTCCCATCTTCAGACCATTTTGATACTGAATGGAGCATTTAAAATAATGTCACTTTGTCCTGCTCTTTGTTCTTTTCAGCACGGGGGAAAAAATGTTTTTTTCTTGCACAACAGCTTAAAGAAAGAGTAACCAGCTTCTTACTGTTTGCACTCTTGAACTTTCAGCTGAACAAAGAAAATAAGACCTTGAAACGAATTAGTATGCTTTATATGGCAAAACTGGGCCCAGAAATTATCACTGAAGAGATTAACATTGATGAGGATGATCCATCCACAGATACGGAAGCAAACTCTGGATCATGCAATTCTGTGCACTGTCAACAGCAAATAAAAGGTAAGCATTGTTGCTGGGCCTACATCACCAGAGTAAAAGTGGTCTAGAGGGTGGTCTGGGGTTAGGTATCTGGCTCCAAATTGTGCTTCTGAGAGTGGTCCTGAAAGGATTTCTGGGAAAAACTGTAAAGAACATGGTAGGCCTGTAGTGATACCGTATAATGCATGTGATAGATATATGTCCTGCAGAGTAGACTGCAATGCAATAGGAAAAAGGGATCTATGCAGCCTAGGGAGTTCAACATTACTGAGTTGGTAAAAGAAACAGTTCCTTGTATCTTTAACAAAGCAAAAGTTAAGCAGAAGGACAAGGTCACCTTGGTATTCAATGGCACTGTAACTATTGCAGAGCTTGTGAAACAAGACCCTCTACTGATGTTTCCATTGTGTACCTTTGTATACACAAACTTTGTTTATATTCCAGAGTTACTGCCTAATAAACAAATTAAAAAAAGACTGCTGTACTGGGAAAAGCAGTGAAGTTTGGAAAGTTCATTGCTATGAGAAATCTGTATTAATACAAGAAATCTCTGGTTTCTTTTTGACAGGCTATTTGTATTTTGATATACAAAATCTGCTATTTTTTTCTAATCTAACTCTGTGAGAAGTCCTTGTAATTCTGTGCGCTATTATATCACAGTATCCAGAAAAGGAGGATGCTCGTATTCTGCATTTTGAGATAGAGACTTATTTAGTTGGTCACTTTAAAAGAGCAACCAAGCAAAAACTCTTCTTGGTTGTTTTTTTCCTGTTAATAAGTTACAATAACAAATGCTGCGTAAGTTCAACAGTCTTGAACTTTCAGCTTGACCTTGTTAATTGTTGTCTGTCTGAATATTGCAGCCTCAAAGAAGGGGTTCAACATACTGCTGAAAAGAATAGTGTTTTAAAAAGTTTTCTTTTTTAATCAACAAAAAAACTCTCAAGAAATAGAAGAGTAGAATGACATCCTATAATAAGTAATTTTCCATCCTACAGATGTAGGACAGGAGGCAGAGAAGATGTGATCCACACCATGCAACCCATCTGAATAACAAATAAGATTCTGGAGTTTCTCCTGTTTTATATTGGAAAAAGATGTCAAAGATACTGTTAGAGTGGGCAAAGATTCTGGCTGCACATCAGAGGATGGTGTGGGAGGGTAAAAAGGCCAAATGTGAGATTTCCAAGAAAGCCTGCTCTGTATATGCTTTCTGCCTCGCTGAAGAATTCACTAAGTAACAATGTAAAAAATATAGAACTCCTGGTTTCTTCATCATTTCTCTGTCCTTATTAAATGTTAATGACTTTACATTTATAAGTACTGAGTACTTTGAAAGCACTGGATGTGGGAGGAGATACTCTGGAAAGTTGGTGTGTGTGTGTATGGGGTAGCAGAGTGATCTAACAGCATGTACCAAAAAAGAATATCAAGGCTCTGTCCCCAGGCTAAGCCAAACTGGTTGGCATTTGTATTGAGGAAGAAATCTAGTTGCATCTTGGATTACCAGCAAATTGAAAGATCATGTACTGAGAGGTGTTTTCAGATATCCTCTTAATGTTCTGTGGTGCTGCCCAAGTTGTTGGTGCTGCTCCTCTTCTGTTTATGTCTATGCTTTCAAGCAGCACTGTGTTGGAAATCCCGGAAGTCTTTCAGCTTTTTCAGCACAATACTGGATGTTTCTTTCAATGATTCACTCCCACTACTTTTCTAGAAGTTGATAAGGTAACACGGTTTGAGGTTTGATAAATTCTCTCATTTATTGAAAGGATAAAGTTTTGATCCTAACGTACAAACATAGAGAAAGGCAGCTCATCCATTATGGAGAGAAGATGGCAAATGGAAATGGAGGGTGATCTCAGATCAGTTCCTTAAATTTGCTTATAGGTTTTGCTTTTTTTTTTTTTTCATTGTAGTTCTTCTTTTCAGATGTAACAAGAACTGAAAACTTGACTGTGCTGGTAAATCAGCTTAGTATGTACCTTGTCTGGGAAAATAAACATTTATGCATTTATAAAGATCTAGATATATGGGTGTGCCTCCTCCTCTATATATAGAGGTTGGTAGATGTACCTGAATTAATCCAGTTACCATGCATTTCAGTGAAAGAACTTTTTCGCATTAATTTCACTGAAAAGCATACAGAAAAAAAGGAGACTTGGTTCAAGAACCTTCTGGGAAAAAGAAGTCATCTTCTTCACTTCAGAATGCATGTGTCATTAATTGAGAGGAAAATAAATCTTTTGAATTGGGAGGGGAGGGTGGGGGCACTCGACATTTTGAAGGTTGGAAACAAAAAAAATGACATCCAGTATGTTGTCATCATCTGCAAATGATTGGCAATGGTTTTCTTAACTGGTGGCTGGTGTTCGTTGAGCAGCAGTGTCATGAAATACTGGAAGCAGGTGGGAAATGAGAGCACTTACTGAAAGCTAATATATATCAATAAATTTGTGTTTTTGTGGTGTTTTTATGTTAACCTAAACCTTGATATATTATGTATGCGAACTGATCTCCTGTTAGGAAGTGATTATAATCAAATGGTTTGTTCCATTGTGAATTTAATTTATTTCATATTTTCATAATTAAGGAACAAAAATTCTGAGGGGAAAATTACAAGCATTAACTCTTCCATCAGTAAAGGTTATATTCTGACTCTGTTCACATAATGTTACAAAGACCAAAAATTGGCAGCTGTTCAGGACAATTTCTTCAGTGCAAATCTCCCAAGTATTAACTGCCTGTTGTTTTGTTTATTTCCCTTGTGACAAGAACTCATGATCCAAAAAGAACTGAAGTGCATTAATTTGTTTCAGAGGATGCCTATTAAAAATTGCTTTCTGCTACCTGAGTACCAGAGTCTCTGTGATGTGACAGTCTCCCGAGTAGGACTGAGGATGCTTTGCAGTGACAGAATTGGTCCTTTTATAGCACAAAATGAATCATTCAGAATGCAAATCAAGACAGCAGCACTGAACAAGGCAGGGTGCCACAATAGGGTAAATCTGGAACTGAAGCCCAGTTAGGTATCTACTACTTAGCATTGGTACAAAGTTCCTAAATTATTGCAGATGTGCCTTGAATACTTCCAGTGTTTTGTTCAAGGTCATTTTGTGTTTGTCTGCTTGTACTGATATGATGTTTCTTTTGTTGTTTTCTTCCAAGAATAAAATAAAAATATATTTTTCATTTCCTTCCTCAAACTGTAGAGCTGCGAGATCAAATCATATCTGTTCATGAGGAAAAGAAGACCTTAGCCATTGAACTGGAAAACCTGAGGTGCAAACTTGTAGAAGTAATTGAAGAAGTATGTATTGTACCATGGAAGGCGAGACCACGTTAGTGTGTAGTCAGTACTTTTTGTATCTAATTTTGCTAAAAATGCTCAGTTGTGAAGTTAATTGAATACTGTCAAATTGAAAGTCCTGCCAGCCTGCCCATATGATGGTGCATTTAGAGTACATGTCTAGAAGGGACTTTCTACGTCAGAGTCCAGTCTTGCTGCTCTTACTCACAGATGACTCTTCATTATGTGTTCCAATGCATGTATTTTCATTCTTACCTCCCCTGCCTGACATCTCCCTTATCTATCAGCCTGCTGTTGTTCTTTTTTTTTTTCTTTCTTAAACCTGTGCATGTGCAGTAAATACTTTTGAAGAATTTCTGTTTTAATCACTGCTGCTTGTTCATTGAACATGTCCTTGAGTTTAGCCATTGGCAGTGCCCTGTCATGGTAATTAGACCAGCAAATTGGCTTTCTGAGCCAGCAGAATTTTATTTCTGTTTGAAAACTGGATAAGCCATGTACTGATGCAAATCAGGACTTAGTGGTTCTTCCTGTCTGTGTAACACTTGAATTCAGAAAGACACAGCTGACAGCTCTTGGACAATGAACAGAGCTCAGGGGAAAAGAAAAAAAAAACCTAAAAACCAGCAGCCTGTCTGTATTAAGAGGCAAGCAGTCAAGGGCAAGCTAGTAATTTTTTAACCAGGTGCTATTATGCCTCATCCAGACAGGTTGAAAATATGTTGTAGCTGGGGATGATACATGCTGTGAGAATGGGCCATGGAAGCCCCACTGTAAGGGTTAGTTTGTAACCCTTTAATCCTGCTTGTGATAGGGGTTTGTAAGTTGGGATCAAAATTCTTTCCATCCCACAGGAAGCCATAGCATCAAGACAATACTAAGAAACAGAATTACTGAAAGAAAAATGTTGCTTACATTATGTAATGTGTTGCATGCCTTATGCTTCTAACTAAAATAGTCTTATTTTTTATTTGTTCTTTGTAATTTTATAGGTGAATAAAGTGAAAGAAGAAAAGGCTGCTTTGACAACAGAAGTTAATAAACAGCAAAAACTGTTGGAAAAATGTAACAGAGGTATGTTGTCTCAGTAGATTTTCTAAAATATATTATAACCGTTGCAGAAAATTATATTGTTATTTCAGAATTTTTATGTAATAGTATGAAGAATGTATTGCAGAACGATGACTGCAGTCTAGAACTGAAGCTTGGCCTTACTGCTATAGGCACTGCATAAATGCATGGACAGTTGTAGGCTTTCTGATTTGTGGAAGCATGGCAGAATAAATAGCAGGTGTAATGGAAGAGTAGGAAAACTTTTGCTCTGTGGCAGAAATGACAGACAGCCACATCCCCATTGCCTAAAATTGTTCCAATTTATTTTCGAGTTCTTCCTCTGTAGTAATGTTCTGTCTGCTTACACAAAAAGATAAATAAAAGCACTCACAGCAACTTCATTGTGTTCTGAGATGTTTGTCAGGTAGTGAAGGGAATTGCCAAAGCTGCCAGTATTGCGCAGGAGGACTTGCATCCAGCTGCAGGCAGGGCATAGCCATAGTGAAAAAACAGAAGTGCAGTCCCTGAAATAATGAAGATTCCTATTGTGCTGTAGCCTTTTGCTAATAATGCTCTCTTTTTCTTTGGAAAAAGTTACAAAATGCACATAGTCTGTGTTTTCAAAGAAACAGATGTGTGTTGGATTACAGAGAAATGTATGAGCTCCTAGTGGGACAGTATTTTACCTTCTGTGGATTCTGCAGGTACCCTTTGGTGTAGGGGGAAGAGATTTGCTTAGTAGTGCATGTTCTACAAGCTTTCAGGTGTTCTCTTGTCTCTGTCATGTGTCTGCACTGCTTGAGCCTGTGACAGGCTATACTTGAAGACTCTTAAAACATCAATCTTTGGTTAGATTAGTTAAACAGACTAGCCTGAAGAAGCTTTTGATGGGATCGCATTACAGATTAAAGATTTCCAAAATGTTTTAATTTTTCCTAAGCACAATCAAAAAAACCATCCCTTATTTCATGTTTGCCTGTTACTCTGGCCCCATGAAATCATATTGTGAAGGGAAATTCCAAACCTCACTCGACTGGGGCTGGCAAATACAGTTGCCTCCAACATATATAGTAATGCTTGGTAGCTTGAGCAGGGCTCCCCTGAGGCTTTGATTGCTCTCACACACAAAAGCAAAATATGATCTGTGGTACTTAGTGTCTGTTACTGGAGTTTTGAGTCTGGGCTCCACTAGAAGATGCTCTATCTTTATTCATTAAAAAGAATTAACAACCCTGGAGCAACAGGGAAGGAGAGAGGAGACAAATTGAATTTTTGTGTCTGCCTGGATGCTTTGCTTGAAGATTTTCTAGGACAGAGAATCTGTTATCCTTTTCTTTCATCTAAAGAGCAGTGATGAGGAGCAGTATTCTCTGAGAATTATCCACCAAAACATGTGTGTTTTTTAAGTCTCAGTTTTTAGTTTTGCAATTGTAAGCTGTATTTTCTTGCATTTTCTTGCATGCTTTTTAAGGTAGTAGCTTATAATATTTAGCCTGTAAGCTTAATAACACCCAGGTGTCAAACTTTACCCTGCAAGATGAGTAATGGCATTTCTGTGGAGTTGTAACTTGGCAACTTGGAATATATCTATCTAAACTAATATTTGCAATATTTGCAGCATGCTGTTTTGTGGAACAGTCATGAAAGAACAGGTGAAACTGCTTTCCCACAGGCTTTCAAACACCTGATTTTGTGGTACAGCCTTTTGATTTTGAGTTCACAAGTCAGCACGGCAGTAACTTTACTCAGCAGTGCAGGACAGGAGGAGTGTTACTCTGTTCAGAAGATGAGTATTTGTGTGTATGTATAGTGAGGTTTAGAGCAAAGAGGATAAATTCTGCATTGTCGACTGTGTACAGGAAAGAAAAATTAATTTGCAACTTCATTCAAGAATTTGCAGTACTGAAGAATAAGAGCCTATCTGTATAAATCAAGCAGTGTTTTCTTCTCACATGTTGTTTGATATCCATTCTGCTTTTACTTCTGATTTTCTTCCATTCTTGTAAACAGTGTCCGTGCTAGCAGTAGAGGAGTATGAAGAGCTTCATGTAAACTTTGAACTGGAAAAGAACCTACGGAAGAAAGCAGAATCATTTGCCCAAGAGGTGAGTAATCAAGAAAAAAGGATCTTTTTTGATCTCTTTTTATCTGCCAAAGCCCAACCAGCCTACTTGATTTCAATTCCTGGCTCATGCAACAGCTGTCTTTGAATTTCCCTGTACTAATATATGTAACTAACATATATTTCATACATGAAATAGATTTACTGTCTCACAGAACATATAAAGCATTCCACAATTATCCATGCAATCTTGCCTCTTTCCTTTTTCAGGTGAAGCTTTCAAGTTACAGTAGGCTTAGTCAGCCACAGCATTTCAGTTGCACATAGTGATAGGGTCTGGGAAGGATAGTCACCTCTCTAGAGGCATTGAATTATTGTGTTTTTCTTGAAAAATAGCTAACCTCACAAAAATCAACCCTAAAACAACCAAGTGATAAAATAGAGCATTAATTGAGTTTTATGTGAGTTTAGACTGCTATTTAACATTTGCCTTTTGAATTGCCTGCTGCAAAGAACATTTGAGTTGAAAAATTGCTTCTGTGTGCTATGAAAGATATAAACTCCTGAAGAGGAAAATGAGGTGCTGGGTAGCAGTATGGAATGGCTAGTGATTGCTCAGATGGCTTCCAGCTGGCAGTGTTGTTTGCCCCAGAAAACACTGACAAACTGTCATTCTGTTGATAGACCAAAGCTATATAATTTTTTTCCCCCAGGTGCATTTTCTGCTTGCATTCTGGATTTTGAGAGTTCTGCACTTGGGTTATATTGCAAACTTTTCTAACCTGTGCCTTGTGTGCAATAATTTCCTGAGTAATAGTTGTACTTCCTAAATAATTGTTTTTCCAGGAGCTCTGCTTTTAAAGGCCATTATACATCAGAATTGTGCGTTGTCATTATTGAAATACTGTAAATAAGGAAAACAGCTGATTTCAGATTTCAAAACTATGACTGCTAGAGGCGAATCTTTAGCCTTGAGGAAATGAGCTTTGCATAGAGACTACTTTTGCTTCTTGTCTTTGCTGCTGCTGTTTTTTTCCCTCACTCTTTTTTTAGTGGGAATAATTTTTTTATTGCCCTAGATCTAACTGCATCCAGTCAGGGCTGGTAAACAAGGGCATACTAGTAATTTTGTGTTTTGTGCTGGCTATTTGATTTCTTTGGGTATGAATAGAATCATATAGGAACATTTTAAGCAAAATGTTTTGTGGAATTGAGATAAAAGTGTATGCAAATTAGAAAAACCTGGAAGGTAGTGCTAAGAAAGTTGACCAGATATTGCTCATGATCTCTCTGTCGCGTGTGCCCTCTCTGACTGTGCTGTGTAAAGGCTGAAGAGCTTCACAACAGCTGAGCCAAGGGTACTGCTCCTCTTTCTCCTCGTTGCACCCATTGCACCTCTTTTCCGTATTCAGGCTCACCATGTTGACCTCTCAGGAAAACTATAGCTGCCATCTCCTGCCTGTTGTCAGTACCTCTGCCACGTGTCTGAAATGTAACTGTACTTCAGGCAAAGCAAAGGCAGCCGACACATTTTTCCTCCAAAAGAATAAGAAATAAGAAAAATGCAAATAATTTACTAAGTAATAAAATATCCATCTACTTTCCAAATTTGTGATGTGAAGGTGGACTTAGTAGGATGCTGTTAAAATCAAGAGATACTGGAGAAAAATTGCTCACGAGGAGCAATTTCAGAAGTCAGAGAGGCTGCACATAGAGCATCCTTCAAAACCCAGTTATACAGAGCTCTGTGAGATGGAGCCCACGTTCCTCTGCAGGACAGAACTGCCCACCTCCCTTTGCCACAGCTTCAGTGCCATTTGCACATTGAAATTTTGCTGTGGTGAATTTTTGTTTGTTTGTTTTTCGTTTAGAAATAAAAAATCTTCAAATTCCATTGAAATAATTTAAGATAGAAACATTTATTAGCAGCTGTAAGTTTTTAAGTAAAATGTTGCCTATGTTTATTAAATGTTTGTTTTGATTTTTTCAAGACTGTTATCAGTTTGTTCTATAGGATGCACAACTTCTAAGCATTTCTAAAATTTGGGAAACCTGTAATATTTCTTTACCCATATTTTATGATAAATATATTAAAACAATGCATTTTTTAAAGAATCTTATGAGGCTGTGCAGTCATTCTTGTTTTATGAGCAAGTTTGGTTGGCTGTGATATCTGTGGAATTATTATTTTCAGGAAACAAATTCCTAAGAATGAAGCATGTTCATTTAGCATGCATTATTACAATATCTGTCTCACATTTCATACTGTTGCTTTGCTTTATCCTCTGTATAGAACAGTTATGTGCTTCTGTTCATTGACTGACAATAGAAGATTGTGTGTAAAGGTCTTGCATCTCTCAGATATGAGTAATTTGTAACTGCATAGTTAAGCTGGCTTTTGGGTCATACAAGAATATTCTGTGGTACTTTAGGCCCAGAATGTTGCTTTTGTTCAGATGCATTACTGTGGCATTCAGACATACATTTTGGAAGATATATCAAGGTATTTTCTGAGTTTTGAATAATGAACTGACACTCCAGCAGTTAAATACAGTGCCAAAGAAATTCTGGTTATTTGCTAACCAGGTTTTTTGTGTTTTTTTTTTTTTTGTTTCATGTCATTATGTTAAGATGGAAATATTCACAAATTAAATATCATAGAATCCTTCGAGTCGGAAGGGACCTTTAAAGGTCATGTTGTCCAACCCCATGCATTGGGCAGGGCCATGCAGAGCTCCCCCAGGTGCTTTGTGGTGGCTGTCCAACAGCGTGGTGTGTTGCTTGAACTCTTTCACCCCTGGAGCACTTGGAGATGGGAAATAGGCTCAGACTTGTGTGCTTGTGTAGTATATTTTAGTGTGTTGTTTTAGTCTGTGATGTCTCCAATAGCCTATCTATGGACGTAGCATATGCAGAACTCTGCACAAAAAGATGCCACGAGCAGCTGCCACAGCTGTGCTCCAAGTGATGCCCTTTCCATCCTGTGCTTCTGACAGGAGATGGGGATTTGCCACAGGATGTGAGCAATTGGGACTGCTGGTGTGAGAGAACAGGGAGGGGAGTGAGTGTGTGTGCAGAAGCAAATGCAGATGGGGTGAGAGAAAAGACAGAGAGGGAGCAAGTGCACCAGGGAGTGAGAGAACACTTGAAAATCAGCTTTTGATTAAAAAAAATAAAAAATCCAATGCAGCTTTAATTATAGTCGTGCTGCTGGCACCACCATAATATATATTTAATTAATCAAAAATGATCCAACTTCAAACATTAGAATTCATGCTCTTTAGAGATTTTAAAGAAACTGAGTAAATATTGTCAGCCATGGTGTGGAGAGCAGGAAGGAAAAAGAAAAGGGTTTGAAGTGAGTCACAATCCATTATGAAAGGTGCAGGAATCTGCATAAAGGAACAAAATAAATAGAGTGTGTAAGGGGTGGGGGCATGGAAAAATCGGTACCTACCTGAATAAAACAGGGTTGTTAACACAGGAATCTTGGCAAGCTTAACCAGAATTCTAGTGTCATGTTTTAAGAGACACTTTAAGATCTCTCAGCTCTTTGTAGAGCAGTTTATAAGCAAACAAAGGAAGGAAGAGAGTATCTTGAAGGCCATTGCAATAATATAGAGGCTAGCCCTGTAAAGCACTCTTCCACAAAGATGAGCAAAGTACAATACATCCAGCCAAAGCAAGCCAAAAGGGGTGGAACACAGTGCAAGATATAAACTGAAAGTCTTAACAGTGTAAAAATCCTAGGAGTTTAAGGGAAAATTTCTGGCATAAATGATTGATTAAGCATACACCCAGCCTTGCAACAATATTTTGTAAAGTGAACAATTTATTACAATTGTGTATGCTGGCACAGGGGTGACGGCTGAACCTAAAATTACTTTGGAAGCCTCCCTGAAAAGAGGCAGTGTGCTGCCAGAGTTAGTTGTGAGCTGTTCCTATCTCTACCCTGCATCTCAGGTAAACACAAATGGAGTGTCAAACTGCTGATCAGATCTGTTGGGTTCCTCACACTATCATTGGCTCCCCAGATGTTTATGGCTATCTGTAGAGTGTTTTGTGATTCATGAAGCTGCACTCAGAACTGTCATCCAGATAGATTAAAAACAAAGTGAGTCTGTAATATGCCTTGTTCATCTTTTCCCTGCCTTCGCTCCAATTCTCACTACTTATTAATTTGTTTCCCTCAAAGTGTCTTTACCCATTACCTGTACCAGTGCATAGCTGATGTATTACTTAATCTGAGATTGAATCTTCCAGAATCGAGTGGTAAAAGGTGGCTGTCATTTTATATCACTCAGGAAAAATTACTGTATTTCTTCACAGATGTCTGCACTACTCATGGGATTGATTATGTGCTATGAGTTCAGTTATCTCAGTGGTTTGTGTGCAAGCTCTGGAAGAACTCTTCATTGGATGCATTTGTGACTTTGGGGTTAATTCATGAGGACTTTTGTGTTAACGTGCTACATCTGCAAAGCCAGCACTCATAGAGCAACTCTCTCTGCTTACCAGTACAGCACTCTGTGCACTGCCAAGGATGCTTTGACAGAAACTGGTGTCTGAAGATAATTAATTTGCAGTCCAGCTGATTGAACTGGAAATAATAATTAAAGAGAGTGGTTAGTGCTTCAATTCCTCTAAGCTTGGATGTTAGAACTTTTGAAGCATGATCCAACACTAATATGTTTCATCAAGCTTTTTCCCAGGAACAGGCTTGTGAAATGGTGACAGATTAACAGATGTATATAGGAAACTTTGTGGTCTCTCTTTTTTTTTGTTGTTGTATTTTACTGTTCAGGCACTTACTCTGTTGGGGAAAAAAATGAAGAGATTTCCTTCTCTTTCATAAAATATTATGGATCATCTGGAAAGAGGGGAGTGACTGTTGGCTGCCCATTGCTCTGCGTTGCTTAAACCTGTGGTCCTGATTGACAGTCAGGTTGGTTCTGTGGTAGTTTGAAAATCTGGGGTTAGTCATTAGCTCCTTTGAGAATCCCAATCTGTGGAATTACTAGAAATGCTCTGGTTTCCCATAACTCATGTTGTTCTTTGTTAAAGAGAATCTCATTGTGTGCCACCCGTGCCCTCCCTATTAGCTGTTTTAGTAATCCTGTCTTTCTGTTTGACATCTCAGGGTGGTAATTCTCTATAGGAGTAGATCCGATGCAAGGCAGGAATATAAGCACCTGATACAGAATTTTCAGATCTGAGTAATGACGTGTGCACTTAAAGCTAAGCATGTGCTGAAGTAAGTTACCTTCAGAACCATTTATTTGTTGCAGCTTTTTTTTTCCTGAGTAGTGCTTCAGAAACCTATGAACCCACTAGAACACACAGGCTTTGTAACTCACACTGGGCTAATGTCACTCCTCAATATGTAGCATTGAGCCTGAGTGTAGGGGGAGCATTTCTAGGTCAATGTCCAAACTATGGCTGAGTTTCTTAATGTGCTTTAATGAGGTGTGTCTGTTTATCAACTCTTCTGTTAACCCCCCCCCCCCAACACTAGGCATTGTTTCCTGCTGTAATATTCGTATGCACTGAAGCTCACAAGCCCAGATGTCCTTGATGATACGGCACAGTTCAGCAGTTATGAAGTTGAAGTGTGTGTGTATACATATTTTTCCTTATTAGCCATTGAACTAAAATGCACGCTTGGAGTTGCATTTCAAATCCAGAGTGCCTCCTGAATTTAGAGCCACTTAGTGCTCTGTCAAGCCATAATCAGGCAAGATCACTCTTTCTCCCACATCACATAAAATCCTCCATACAGCCTGTTTGTTCCACTGGGGAGGTACAAGTACCTTGATCCTGCCTCTCCTGGGGACTCAATGCACATACAAAGGCAGGAATATAAGGCCTCAGGTTATCCGCATTGCAAAAGACATTGGCTCCTGTAGATTATGGCTTATGTAAATAAGTGCTTTGCCACACCATGAGGTTGATTTATTGATTCCTCGGTAGGGTTTGGAGGAGATGGAGCTGTCCTGCCAGGGGATTTGACATCAGGGCCAGCTGGTCAGTTGACTGATCTTGTTCTCTTTTCTGTTTAAGCTTCCAGATTTTGTCTCTGCCTTCATACGTACGTAGTTGTATTCTACTTGCAATGTTTGCCTTCGACTTTTCTTTCACTTTATGCTGCCGGTGGTTGCCTTAATATAGCAGTGCTGCAGTATTCAGATGTTATTCTGCTCTTCAAATTCTAGCTAAGACAGGTATTTTGTGTAGTGAGTACTCAAATGAGTAATAGTTTCATAGAAATGTAGCAGCACATGGATATTGAAGCATTTCCTTTGGCCTCATTTTGCTCCTGGGAGAAGAGTTAGTTGGAAAGCATCCAGTTGTACCCTCAGCATTGCCAGGGACTTGACACCGACAGGATTGCTTTCTAACTTTTTTTTAATTAGGAAAAAATATTTTTTGTGGCTCTGTAAAAACCAGCTGCAGCAATCGCTCTGTAGGGTGATGGTTAAAGCAGGGGTCTGAGAATGAGGTGTGGCCTCATTGAGGTCAAAGGAAAAGCCTTTATTATTTTCAGGATTTCACTCCCCTCTCTCCTTCCTTCCCTCCCCAGTTTTTGTGCAGACTTTTGATGGAACGTGGCTCACAGATTTTCTGCACTTCAGAGCTTCTGTTTGTAAACTTGGGAAAAATGTGCAGCTGGTTTGTACAGCACTCGCAGATTTGTGAAAAGAGGATGATAGGTGTACATCCTTCGTGGTCTGCCTTTGGTTGCAGTTTCCTCAGATTCCCCCAGCACTGACTGACATTTCTAGCATTGATGAGGATACTCAGCAGATAAATGTTGAGCAGGTGGCAGAGTCGGAACTTATCCATCAACTGGTTAAATTCCACCTGGTCCAAATAATCCTGTTAGTAGCTATTTTGCCCTTTCAGCAGTTTCTTTAGTTAATATTCAGGGTTGTGCAGGCAGACAGGTTCCAACCTTGCTAAAGCAATAATTGTTTTAATTTAAAATTAGAATTGATTTTACAGGTCTCTTTTGTCCTGTGTCAAACACGCGGTGCAACCTCTCGTAAACTTCCAGCTGGTTCATCACCAGCCCTTTTCTGTGGTATCTGCCATGACCATTGTGTCTAGTTTTGGCCTTTCATTTAGAATATGCTGGTACTTTAAATTACAGGAGTGGGCCTCAGTTCTGGAATAGATGGGATTCCCAATGAAAAATTGGTTATCATGTATCTGGTTGCAAGAATTAAGTCAAAAGCAAGAAAGATTTCTTTCATGGTGGTGAAGACCCTTTCACGTATATTGTAAGAAGGAAAATAATTAATAAGGCTAATTGGAAATGAAGGACTTCTCTTTTCTCAGGTGACAAGTGAGAGGATGCGAGGCGATGGTCTCCCATAGTGCCAGGGGAGGTTTAAACTGGATGGTGGGAAAAATTTGGGGTGGTTCTGCATTGGAAGGAGCTGCCCAGGGCAGTGGTGGAGTCTCCATCCCTGGAGGGGATTTAAGAGACATTTAAGAGATGTGGGAGTGTGACACTAAGGGACGTGGCTTAGTGGTGGGACTTGGTACATCAGGTTGGTGGTTGGACTTGGTGATCTTGAAGGTCTTTTCTAACCTAAAAGACTCTGTGATTTAGAGATGTATGACTTTTTTCAAGATGCAGTCTCTCCTAAGAAGATAAAAGGTTAAACAAATGAAGGAATCGCAATACAAAGGTAAACCTTCACAGGCTGAAGTGGATAGCACTGATTCCCAGCTTCCTTTGCCTTCGAATTGTTCTTGCCACAGATGTGACTGTCTTGGTTTTGGGATGGGAAACCAATACACCATGTGCATGTCGGCTCGAAGAATGCACAGAGTTCACAGTGAGCTTCCTTCCTGTGCAGCATGTTTGCTCCATGTGGCAAACTCACTTCTGATGACATCCGTACAGCTCACCAGAGAGGCCATGCACTGAGTGCAGTGAGCAGGGGCTGGCTGTGATCTCCTGCTGCCTGCACACAGCCTCTGATGATGGCCGTGCCCCAGGCCTGCTCGCAGCGAGCCGTGCAGAAAGCAGGGGGAGGGTTATGCTCTTACCTGCAGTAAGTATTGGCAGTTCACCCCGTTTCATTGAGTAGGTCAGACAGGAAGAAGGCAAGCTCTTTCTTTGCTCTTTGTGTGTTACAGTGAATTTGTTTGGGTTTGTTTTAAAACAAAGCATAGTACTAGAGCCTGCCTTCATTGTTTCCCTTTCATCGAATGCTTCCATTTCTTTATCGCCTGCCTCGTGGCGCAGTGCTGCCCGATGAAGTGTTCTCTATTGGGTTTATTAGTATTAAGGCTGCATCATTTGGTTCTTCTTGGCACGCAGAGTCAAGCAGGGTATGTTACGAGTTCAGAGTTCAGGGCGGTCAGGAGGCTTCTCATTCTGCATATGCTGCCAGAAGAGAGGTGCTTTCTAGGGAGACTCAGAAATGTCTGTGCAAATCACAGAGTACTTGCTTACAAAGCTGCATCAGCTGATGGTTCTTTACAATCCGCTTGTGCTGAAAAAAATACAAATCACCTGGCAATGTAATAGCACTGAGCAGGAAGAAACCATCAGTCAGTGTGTAGTACCTGGAATTTTGGCTGGTAATAAGCAGTATAGAAACCTGGCAAAAGCTCATGGGACTTTTATACTTGAAATACTGCATTTTTTAAATATCACCTCGCTTTTGCTGTGCTGTGGAGCAGTGTTTTCACAGTCTGAAGGAGCCTCTGGCTGTTCTCTGCTCTCCTGCTGTAAGTGGCACGCTTTGCTGAGCTGTGCACACTCATCTCAAATCTCAGCATGACCCAGTCCCTCTTTCTGCTGTAAGAGCAGAAACAGCTGAGCTTTGCAAAAGTGCAGACTCCTGTTTGGTGGGCACCTTTCTACCTGGAAGAGATGTCAGGATGCAGAAGAAATTCACCAAGGAATTTTTTGGGTCAGGAAATATTTCTTCTTCTCCAAGCTCCTGAACAGACTTCAAGAAGCAGGTTTTCTCTCTTAGGGGAATCTCACATGCTGATGTGGGTGAAGCCTAGGAAAATGTGTGATGTTTGTATCAGTGTCATGCCTCTAAATGGATGGATTTTTTTCCTCATGTGTCCATTCCCTGAATCTAAAATATAACTGAAAAAGAGAAAACATGAACTTCAGAAGTAAAAGTCTGAAATGGATCTGAGATGCCTTTTTTTTTTTTCAAGGCAAGTACATACACTGATTACACAAATATGGGCTGAAATGCATTTCCCAAAGACGCTCAGTCATGTACATACCCAGGTGATGGTGCAGTAAGTGGGCTGTATGCCAAGGCTGGCAGATGTGGTTGAGGAGATAGCATGTGAATTCATAGGCTTTTCTTTCTCCACTGTGAATCCCTTTAATCTTTCCAGAGCTTCAGAACAGGGATGTTCATTTTTCCAGGAAATAAATCAGACACGCAGTTAAATCACTTACGCTGCCAATGTGCAGGTAGTAGAGGTGTAGCAGTTCTGGTTGGTTTCAGTACAGGCTCGGTTCTTGTAAATTTTACTCTCAGACTTTCTTTTTCCTTTTTTCTCTTTCCATCTTCTCCTCTATTCCTATTGTATTAACTCAATCAAACTTTGTCTCTTCCTTTCCAATTGCCTCTTCTTGGCTTTTTTTTTTTTTTTTTTTGAAGATAGCATCAGACTTTGCTTAACTATTGTTTTTGTTTGGGGCTGGGTGTTGTTTTGTCAGATGTTTATTGAACAAAACAAGATGAAAAGGCAAAGCCAGCTGCTTCTGCAAAATTCTGCTCCTGATCAGCAGCTTTTGAAGGCTTTGGATGACAATGCCAAGCTAACCCATACATTAGAAGAAGAGAGGCTTCAACATCAACAAAAGGTAAAACTACTTTGCATTTCATGCAGAAATCCTTGAAAGCTTCTTGAATTCAAGGATGAATTAATGCCGTGGTTTGCCAACTACAGGTCAAAGAATTAGAAGAGCAGCTAGAAAACCAAGCACTGCATAAGGAGATTAGTCGTCTTAAACAGCAGCTGGAACTCTTAGAAGAAGATAAAAAGGAACTAGAGCTTAAGTGTCAGAACTCTGAAGAAAAAGCAAGGGACCTAAAGCATACAGGTAATGCGTTTACTTTTAGAAGTATAATAGAGTGAGTGAATGATACACATTTAATGGAATTACATGTGATGGATTTGAGATCCAAGAAGCAGCAGCTTTAGTGTAGCTGAGATCATGGAGTCATAGAATTGTTTGAGGAACTTTTAAAGGCCATCTTTAAAAGACCATCTGGTACAACTCCCTGCAGTGAACAGGGACACCTATGGCTTCATCAGGTGCTCAGAGCTCCAGCCAGCCTGACACTGAACATCTCTAGGGATGGAGCATCCACCACCTCTCTGGGCAACCTGTGCCAGTGCATCAGTACCTTTATCGGGAAAAACATTTTTCTTAAATCCCCTCTCTTTTAATTTGAAACCATTTCCCCTTGTCCTGTCCCAACAGACCCTGCTAAAGTGTCTATCCCCTTCTTTCATGTAGTCCCCCTTTAGCTACAGAAAAGTTAATCTCAGATCTCCGTGAAGCCTTCTCTTCTCCATACTGAATAGCCCCAGCTCTCAGCCTGTCCTCATAGGGAGGTGTTCCATTCCATGCATCATTTTTGTGGCCCTTGTCTGGATGCTCTCTAGAAGGTCCATGACTCTCCTGTATTGAAGACTCCATATTTGGATCTCAAGATCCAGACATGCACTTCCCATGATGAGAGGCTCAGCAATTGCCTTCAGCTCAGAACGGTCATGTCTGGAAAGCATGTGAAGCATAAACATTGTAAAACTTCTGTAATATATAAAAACTCTGTTCTTAGATTGCCCTCCATCTTATAAATGGATATGTACATCTGAGTGCGTTTCTGTGTGAAAGAGTCATTCATATTTTAAAAAGGGCTCCTGCTGTGTGCAGCCTTACTATAAGGACTGTGGGCCTATGCTTTGTTAATTTGGTGGCACAAGTTTTCGTTTTCAGTCTTTTATTCAGCTGAAGGCCTAAATAGATACTAGTTTTAATTATGATGCCTGGTCGTGAAAACACTTGAACCCCTGTCAAAGTCCCAAATCCTTATCATTAGATAAGACTCCACAGTTTTCTGAAACATATTCTTAAGAGCAGTATTATCTTAAAGCTTGTTAGCAGTGTTTTTGTTGGAGTTTTACATTACCCAGCCTTAAAAATACACCTAAGCAGGCTTCAGAATTCTTCTCAGCTGTCTTTGAAAAGATCTAAACATGACAGCAGATTTTGTCCTTCCAAATTAGTTTGTTGTTCAGAAGGAATTTGTCAACATAAAGTTTGTACTTGCGATTTTAGGTCACTCCATTATTTAGTTTCCTTACTTAGTAAAAGGTAAAGACTGGAATTTCAATTGGAATTAATCATAATGAGAACTGAAGAATTATGTGCAGAAGAGAACCATATCAAAGTGAGATAATCCCATTCCCCCTCAGCTTGAGCTATTTGGTGAGATAAAAGAAGCCAAAATCCATCAGGAAGACATGATAGCAGTTTCTTGCCTTATCTTCGTTAATTTCTCTCATCTCTTACTTGGTTTGTTATTTATGGCTACATATGATTCCATTTTGTATTCTGATGTATGTGAGGACTCGTTCAGCTTCCATGGAAATGCAGGAGGCTGATGTGGAGCCCACAGGCTTCACGTAGATTATAGTAGCACGAATGTGATGAACTTTTATCCATCCTGAGGTTGTATAGAAAGAATTCTGTTTGAGGGGGAGAGTCATTTTAGTTTTAAATGTAGGCCAGGTTGCAGTGAATTGTTTAGTGGGATTTCTGTGCACCTAGGAGACTGCTATTAGTAGAAAATGTTGCCAAAAATAGGACTTTGTAGCAACTGAGTGGTTTTTTGGTTAATTGGTAGCTTTTTTTTTTTTTTTTTTTTGCTTAAGAGGCCAAAGTTGTTTTTAGAGCAGATGTGAGAAGCAGAGATCTCACTGAAGGTTTTTTCTCTTGCACAGTTGATGAACTTCAAAAACGAATACACCAATCTGAAAATCCTGCACCTCCTCCTCCACCACCACCACCTCCTCCTCTTCCTCCTCCGCCTCCTCCTAACCCTATACGGTAAGTGCTTAAACCAGGAGTCAGTGCTCTTCACTGAAGAACAAGTCAGAATACAGAGTACCTCACGAGCTTGCATTCAAAGAGGAAAAGTGTCTTTAAATAAGAAAGATTTTCTCTGTCTGCCTTGGGTTTTATTCCTTCCACTTGCCAGCTGGACACTCTGCTAACAGTCTTGCACCCTGACCAGTTGTGAACAGTGTTTGTCTTCCCAAACCTAATTTATTGTCTGAACTGTGGCTTTGGAGGAGGAGAGACACCTGTCTCCTCTAAATTTAGGAGATTTTTCTATTATTTATCTGATAGCTATAATTATAGACTTGGGAAATGCTTGTCTGAATCTGCAGCTAAGAATACCCCTTTGAACCAGAGGATATCTTGGGTCATAACTGTTGTGCCTTCCTGTCAGATAAAATTAAGATTGAATTTTTCAAGGAACCATAAAAGAAGTGGACCAACACCATGTATTGGGCAGTAGCCACAAATAACTGGAATCTTAAAGTTTTATTTAATTTTAGGAACACAGCTGATGTTCATGTCAGCACTGCCTTTGCTTGAAATAAAACACGTACTGCAGTGCACTGCTGACCTAGGGGGATAGATATTGGCATCCCGTTTTCTTCCATAACAGTCTCCATTTGATTTAGAAATACCACTTTCAAAAAGTCTTGGAAGTCTAAGAGCTCTCCTTGCCTTGCAGAAGCACTTGTTTTTGATGTTCTTTTCCTCCATTTTAATTTTTTTTATTTTTAAATGAACTTGGATAACACTTTCTAAGCTCTGTAATGGGAAGTACATACGGATGTCTTGGTAACTACTGGATTCAATATGTTAAGACAAATCATTAGCGAGGAAAATTCAGACCTCTGTTCATCTTACTCTGTTTTTAAAAATCTAAACGTTTTCTGATCAGTTGTGTTAGATATTTTACTCCTTTTATCTTCATTAATTCATTTGGTTTGCCTGCTTTATTCTCATTAACATATAGCACAAATTAACTTTTGATTATTTTTATTTTCTTTGAATCCTTTACTAATTGGGATAGATAGCACTATCTACTTTAAGCCTTGTGGTAGCTAGTTCAGAGCATTTCTTTCAAGTATTGTAAAATGTATGTGAGCATAGGCTATTTCAGAACCTGGGTGCTGGGTGCTCTTTTTATTGTGGGGTGGAGCTTTGGCACTTTATCTCAGGGTGGTCTCCCAGCTTCTTAAGGAGCAATGGGGAGTGATAAGCCCCACTGACATACTAGATGCCACTAGGAGCATGTACTTAGGCTTTAAAATGAATCATTTCCTTGCCTGGATTTTTACGTTTTGACTGTAGTGAAGGGATAATTGTTTAACACTGTAAGAAGATTACAAACTTGGAATTGGTGAGAAGATACTGATCACCATATTTAAGTGTCCTCTGGAGAATAATACTTCACTTTGATATCTACAGCTCTTCCTTTTTTTTTTTTTCTTTTTTTTTTAGAGCTGGAACAGCTTCAGTTTGTCGTTTGTCACAATGAGACACTGTCCTTTAATATTCAAATCTGAAGTGTTTTGATTTGTGCCTAATGTCTGTTAAAAAGAAATAAATTTCTCTGGTGCATTTTGATGGGAGGCATTGTGGGGGGTAATTCAGAACATACATCTGCATTCAAGAACTAAATGAGTGTGTTGTAAGTAGCTGTATAATCAGGTATAAGCAAGCTGTTTGTGTAGTATGTTCAGAGTTCATTGATGTAGTAGAGGACAGAGTCATAGTCTGCAGTTTTGTTTTCCTCAAAGGTCTCTCATGTCAATGATTCGCAAGAGGTCTCACTCCAACACCAATGTGAGCAAGAAAGAGAAACCACCTCAGCAGGAGTCAGGTATGGCTCATCCTTTCACAAGTTACGTATATTGTTCACTAGACAAAGCTAGTGAAAATGAACTGTGTGTGCCAATTGTTATGCAAATGCTTGCAGTTGTCAGCATTAACGATTGCTGTCCGTGTCTCAGCATATTCATCTACCTTACAGTCCAGAAATGTGATTGCAGTCCAGTTATATGAGCTCTGAGATGACAGATGGTATCTTTGGCATTGTAGCTTTGCACATGTAAACCCTATCAAGATCCCAAGCAAATTTGCATAACCCTCTTTAGTTATCCCCCAACAACTGATTTGTAATCAACATCCAATGTATTTTTTCCAAATGGATTTTAGTATGAGCATTCATAAGCCTTGGAGAAGACTTGCTGTAGCCACAGGGAAGATCTTATCTTCCTACTTCTGGGTGTCATGGTTATTAGAGACATCAGGGCACTGATTTCACTCACTGATGTGACAGAGAAATGTATCTTTCTTTTTTATTTTTCTCCTGTGAGGAGACGGGTGTTCATGTTTATCACAGATTTGCAGGAAGGACCTGACAGGGTGAGCACTCAGCTGGGTATGGAGATGTGGTGGGTGAAATGGATAGGGAGAATGTCTGGGTTCTGTTTAGGCTCCATGCAGCTCGCTGGGTTGCACTGTAGCAGTTTGGCACTGTCTGTAGCAGTTACACTACAGCAGCATTGTGAGACACAACTAGTGTGTAGCAGACACACATTACAGCATGATGCTGTAGCTGCAGCACGTCCAGTGCTATACCCATCCACAGGCTTCTAGAAGAAGCAGGACAAGCCAGCAGTCATGAAGCAGAGAGCAAGTTATATATTAGATAATAGAGGGAAGCTTCCTGCTTAGAATGGCATCGATTTTTGTGATTTCTTCTGTCCAGAGGCTTTCCATGGGGCTAGTTTAAATGCTACAGTTTTTATCCCTTGATTCATATCTTACGAAATTACCTCTCAAAGTTGACTATACTGCTATCCTTTTAGTAATACTAAAAAAGTAAAACAAAACAGTCGTGTGCTGAGGTGGTTCTGAATGCAAAATAACAGCTGAAATTCCATTTTATTGTTGTTTAATGGAAGCTGGAAACTTAGTAGGTTGAGAATGGGAGTTAAGTACAGATTTATAGATGATCATGTGTGCCTGAAGTGGCAGAGGTAGTCATGCAAGTGTTGCCTGTTAAAAAAAAGCAAGATTTTCCTCATTATTTCTCTCTCATAAAACAGTAGAAGTTTGTTTGTAGCAAATTGCTTACCTTACTTGGTGCCACTTAAACAAAGAAGAGGGCTAGAGAAAGGAACCAGGTTGAAATGATGAATATAGGGTAAAACTGTTACAAAAGAATTACTGCTAGCTGATGGTTCGGTATTGCAAGCATGGCTGGATTACTGGATGGGACCACAAGAGAAAGAGGAAAGGAAGCATTATCAACCCTGTTCTTTAAGGGAGGAACTGAGGAGTGGAGTGAACTTGAACTGGGGGAATCTTTGGGAACTGGTCATCAGTCTGAGAAAAACAAGATTGCTGGTGTGGGTAAAATGATGAGACATGACCTTGTACTGTGATCTCTGATGAAGAGTCAGTCTTATCTTTCAGTAGCAGTTAAATTATGTTCCCTTTGTTTATCAAGTTTACTTACCTTGAAGCATCCTAGATGTTTTGATTGTGTCTTTTTGTTGAGAGATAGAAACAGTGATTGCAGCAAATACTATGAAATTTACAACGAGTTCTCAAAATTCTACTTCATCATTTACTAGGAAACTTTAACAGTTCTGACCTTTCTTCAATCATGTGAGTTGCTGCTTCTCTTAATGCTTGAATTTTTCTTAAAATAAAAATAAAAAGGGGGAAAAGTTCTTTCTTGATTGAGTTGTTATATCCACCCCAAGGCTTGTTTTGACCCTCGTTAAGGACTTAGAATGAGTGGTTTTGATCCCATACCACCAATTAAGCTTTTATATTTAACAGCCTATTTGTGAAATTAAAGCCTGACATTAAATTGGCTTACAATACAGAAACTGCATTTCTATGAATCATCAATAGTACCCTGACAAGTAAGAGATCAAAAGTCTATTTAAAATTCTTATTATGTAAGGTACAATGTTGCAGCTTTGAATAGCATCAACCATATTTTTGCGTGTGTTTCTATTAAGTGGTCTTTTTTCCCTTTTTGTCTTTTGTTAGAGTATCCAGAACTCTGAAAGGTTAACAGGTACTGCTGAGGTTCATCACATCGCTTCCAGTTTCTCCTGAATGTTTTGCAGTCATGACAGAGAATCTCTTGAAAATCAGCCTGTTTGTTTCGTGATATTTGAGTTTGGGCTGGATGTGGCAAGCAAGCTGTTTAGGAGACTGTTTAACATCTTATTTTCTTTCTGCTATTCCTCTGTAGTTTGTATTTAGAATGCGGTATACTCTTTGATTTTGGAACAGGTGAAGAAGTTACAGATCTGAAGAGACAAGCTGTCGAAGAAATGATGGACAGAATTAAGAAGGGAGTTCATCTCAGACCAGTCAACCAGTCAAGCAGACCTAAAACAAAGGTTTGGAATAAATAGCAAAGCAGCAATATTATCTGAGCATAGTGATTTATACGAAAACCAAATTTCTATAGAAGATTCAAAAGAATACATTTGCCTTGCATTCTTCTTTTGCTTTGCTTTGAGTTTGTCATGGTCCATTTCATCTGGGCCAGATTAGTAAGCATATGTTTTTTTTAACATGTGTGTTGTGTTTATTTACAGCCAGAAACACCAAAACCCTCTGAAAGTGCAATGAAGGAATTAAAAGGGATCCTGGTGAGATCATATGCAATTTATATTTCATTGTTTTCTTCTCGCGGAGCTGACATGACTTTCTGTGCATGAAAGCCTTTAATTGAAAGTTCTGTATTAATATTTTGCTTTGAAGCAGCAGAGCAGTATTCTAGTTAATCCCTCAGTCATCCCCACTTTTGACTTCTGTGCTACTGAAAGAATGGTTGTTGAGAGAACTAACTTTTGGAGAAAGCTAACCTGTTAATTGTGCTCCAGGTTTGTACGTTCCTGCCACTAGAGGGGTTGTTATGTTCTGCATCTGTCATAGGATCTTTGGAGACATTTCAAATAGTCACAGTAGGGATGCTTTGGTAGGGAAACTAAAGCCCCTGAAATGCACATCTAGATGGTCTGGTATTAAATGGGGAGGTTGGTGGCCCTGCATGTGGCAGGGGTGTTGGAGATTCCTTCCAGCCAGGGCCATTCTGTGATTCTGTGATGGATGGAGGTCTCTTATCATTAACTGCTGTCTCCCAAGGCATGAAATTGCTTGGTAGCATAGACATAGCAAGAGCTCTCTAGTCTTTTTATATTTATGTCTATAAACAAAGACATTAGGCTCATATTTGGGCTTAAGCTTGCTTTTGTTTTGTCCTTAATTTATACATTGCATTGCTTCTTTTGCACAAGTGCTAAAATTGTACCAAACACTCAGGAACAGCCATAGTTCTTGCTCCCTGATTTTTGTGATCGCAGAACTTTTAAAGTTGAACTTTGGCATATCAGGTGAAATTTTGCCTTTGTAAGGTGGAATATGGTAAAATCCTACCTATGTCAAAGCAGAATACATCCACAGTAAATAAGGCTTTTTCTGATCAGCCATAATTGCACCTAGATAATAACTTCAGTATTGTGTTGGGTGATGCAAGACAGTACAGCAAAGAGAATAGTCACTGCAATACAGAGAGCTGATATTGACTTAAAATCATAACATATTAAACTGAGTCTTTTCCCATCACGTTAAATGAGACAGCTGTTGGAGGGTCCAGAGGAGAGCCACTAGGATGATCAGGGGGCTGGAGCACCTCCCCTTGAAGTCAGGCTGAGAGAGCTGGGCTTGTTCAGC